TTAAGCAACTCATTGGGAAAAAATAGTTCCGCCAGTAAAGACACAGGGACAGAGATTGGGGCTCATGGCATGAGTAGAAGACACACCTTTATCCTTGTCTTTAAGGATATGAGAAATCAAGTCATTCCCCCGGACATTACATTTGAGCAGTCAAAGACATTTTGGTCTTGGAGGCAGAAAATCCAGGTGATGCCTCGCATGATCATAATCAAAATATTTGTTCCCTGCCTTTTTTTACTGGTATTCCAAAATGGGCTGCAGACTGTCTGATTCTGCCTAACGGCAGCCTTGCAACACACCCACACACCCTATACTTGATCACCCTTTTGAAAAAAGGAACTTCAACCTCCCGCAATATATTGCAACAGGCTAATAATCATTCCCAGAATTTCAGTCTTGCGCTGTTTATTAAAGAATCTGCTACACGTCATTTCAATGACTTTTGGTCAATTCATAAACCTTAGTACAGGATAAATTATTTCCACCATGTTAGATTTGCCAATCCAGATGCATGATTCATTTTTGGAAAAACAAAACAAAGCAAAAATTTAAAAGGTCCCAACACTCACAGTTGTTTTGCTCACAGCACTGTCCTCAAGCAACCAGGTACTTCCATTATTCTGTGTCCAGAACTCTTCAACAAGTTCAAGTAGACTTAAAATGTTAAACATTCTTTTTTAAAAGTACTTTAATTCACAGAAATGTTCTTTTTTTTTTTTTGGTTTCTTATACACAGCAGGTGGTTACTTTGTTTAAAAAAATCCATTCTTTTTTTCCATATATTTTTCAGTATCTGACTATACAATAACGTTCTATCTAAAGCTTTGTCCACATAATCCAGACCCGGTCGCCTGTGCTTCGGGATTCAGAAGTCAAAACAACCCCACCCCCCTCCCAAAAAAATATAAAGATCTATCAACAATTTTACTAAGATAATTTCCATAGTTCTGTCATGTAAATCATCGGGAAAGTGCAGCAGAAACACGGAAATGGACACATCACACATAAGCAATACTTTTTATCATGAAGTGTGCATGTAGATCTTAGAAATATTCAGAGAGAACGGACATGACGATTAAATCCTATTTACAGAATTTGTTAAGCTAATTTCTGAGGGGGAGATTTAGTTGGGGTGGGGGAGCTGGAAGGGGGAATACTCAGGGACGTCATCAAAGTGTCTTTCCTTCATGTAGGACATCTATAAATTTAGTCATTCATACTTTCACACGTGGGAAAACTGCACTTTTTACCAATACAGCTACATACACATACACAGAGTTAGCATTAAGCTAATAATTATTCCACTATGGAGTCAGGGTAGGTCCTTCCGTTCAGAAGAACATCTTCAGAGTGGCAAGTTAACTTTGGACTTGAAGATCAGAAGCCGATGAAAACAAGTTTACTCTATCCAGTAGTTTGACGAAACTGAGCATATCAAGGTGGAAATAAAAGGTAAAACCCATTCAGGTACACCTAAGCTGGAAAGCACTTACTCTCAACTGGCTGACAAGGTGTGCATGCGAGCTCTACAAAGACTGAAGGATCTAAATAAAGATTACAGTCCTTTGCCTACTGGGAAGGGGGGGAAATGGCTCCATAGTACTGTGTTAACACTATACCTAGTTGCAACATAGGGAGACAGCCAAAAGAAAAAAACCAAAAACAACCTCACCCGCAGGAATGTCTGACATGTACATTAATTTTACAGAATTCCTCTACAGGCCAAGCCAGAGTACAAAAGTACACATCCGTTGCTACAAATGCCCTCTTCAACTGAGGATTCATCCAACAGGGGGGAAAAAACCTTAGCCATGCTTTTTAGACATTATGATGTTTTACGTTTAACTATTTTGCGATGGATAATTTCCATAGCTTGGGTGTTGTTGTTTTTTAAATCTTATTTTATTAAGCACAGCCCATTCCTAAGCACGCTGCAGAATGCTGGTTAGGGAGCAAAATGTCCACTTTCCAAGCTGGAAATGTATCTACTCAGCAGATCTCAAGCACAGTTTTAGCTGTGGAGGAGGAGGAGGAGGCATTGCCCAGAGTCCTGCCCCAATGCCTTACAAAGAGAGCCCCTGCCCCACTGCATATCAGAGAGGGGCAATGGTGACTTATTTTCACGGCCCTTCTCCTTCTTGGTTTTAGATTACGAAAAGAAGTTGACATACCATTTAGTTAGCATTCTCTAGACTAAGGCGGGATGGGGCCCCCAGATGTATTAGTTGTATGCATTTCTAGTAAGGATCATACACAGGTTACACGTAATTCATGTACAGTTATGGTTCCAGTGGAGCTGGTGGGGAGGGGGAGGTGAAATCATAGCAAAGAGGTTAATAAACAGCGGTGCTCCCATTAGAGATAGGCTAGTAGAGAGAAGTGCACAAGGTAGCAAGTTGCATCAAGGATGTGCTGAGACGGAGGGCAGGGGAGTCCCAAGAGAGGGGCCATGATTTGGGGTTCAGGGTGTGGGCTCCTTCCATCTGCAGGGTTATTTTTAAACAAAAAAACAACAGGAACACAAAATCACCTGACAACTAAAGATTTAGCTCCGTTGGGAAAACAAAAACAAAACAAAACAAAAAAACCACATTGGATTTAAGGTACGTTACAGAAACCGCCTTGGTTACTGAGTGGCCTGCTACAGGTCTATGAGCTGATCCACTAGCAGAAGAGACCTGGCTAGGTTGGGAAGACTGGATTCAGAGCTTCCACTGCTGTTTCTAGAATGCCCACCTGAAAGTGTGAGAGATAGCAATTCAGTATTGAGCAAGAGAATGAAAGGGAATTAAAAGTTAGCTTTTTTATTTCAATAAATAAAATGAAAAAGGCGTTCACAAGCAAACAAAAAGGAAGAGCAAGCTACAAACTAGAGAAAGCAGCAGCAGCAGTCTGGAATCTACACAAGCGTGGCTCTTGGAGTTACAAGTAGATAGATGCAGAAAGTTTTGCAGACACAGTCTTCAATGTGGTTTTTGAAGAGAGATTCCAACAACCAAATGTCTCAGCTGCTCCCTTCTAAAAAGTTAAGTCAAGCAGCAGCTCTGCCTGTGGCATTGCACTCCTGATAAAGATGTCAATAGGAGAACTAACTTTACCTTTAAGTGTGGCAGCACCTACACTTCAGAACTCTCTGCCTATAGAAGTCAGGCAGGTGTCTGCTAAAAACGTTTTTGTTTAGACAAGCCAGTCCAGAAAGTTGATGCGAATTTTAATCTGTCTAGTTTTGTTTTAACTTTTTCAAAGTTTTTGTTGGTTTTTCTTATTGATAATTTTATTGAGGTTTCTTTGCTTTTACAGTCAAGCAGTGTATAGATTACATGAAATAAGTAAACAGAATAAATGGAGGGTCAGGGGCTTAGATCTGGAGCTCCTCCCTCTCCAAGCAACCTCATTTAGTCTCCTCTTCCCTAGGATGATTATACAACAGTGTTAAGGAAATATTAGAGCAGGAATCTGTTACCGGGCAGGGCTCCATGACAAAAATTGAGAGGGGGAGTCCTGTGCGCATGGACCATGGGACAAAGGGGGAAAGGCAATTTCAAGAGTTGTGGAGCACCAAATTCTTATTCAACAGGGAGCATCTATGTCTTCCCATGGAGGTCTCAATGTTACGCATGTCTTATCAAAAGATGCCCCTGCCCCTTTTCAGCTGCTCATGGTCTACATCCTGCGTTTTCTCTGCACAGCCGCTTTGGTAAGGTAAAGGGACCCCTGACCATTAGGTCCAGTCGTGACTGACTCTGGGGTTGTGGCGCTCATCTCACTTTATTGGGCGAGGGAGCCGGCGTACAGCTTCCGGGTCATGTGGCCAGTATAACTAAGCCCCTTCTGGTGAACCAGAGCAGCGCACAGAAACACTGCTGGAGTGGTACCTATTTATCTACTTCCACTTTGATGTGCTTTCAAACTGCTAGGTTGGCAGGAGCTGGGACCGAGCAACGGGAGCTCACCCCGTCATGGGGATTCGAACTGCCGACCCTCTGATCGGCAAGTCCTAGGCTCTGTGGTTTAACCCATAGCACCACCCGCATTCCTTTATGACAGAATGTTCAACTGCAGCCCAGCACCCCAATACACTCTCTAGCTTTAAGGTGTGTTGTGTTTTAGAATATAACTCTGAGCTGTTGGGCCTATATGAAACTCCCGGTCAAAAATCAGGATGGCAGTGCGTGGGAGAGAGGGGCTGTAAATCCAATGGGTCACCTGGCCAAGAGGCCCTACCCCTTGATTCCTTCCACCACAAATCAACCAAGCTTGTATTATAGCTATTCCCAGCAGTGAACTCTGGGTCAGGATTCAAAGACCCTCAGGATTAGTTCCATGGGCACAAGGTGGGTGGTTGTCTCCTAATCATGTTACATTGCAAGCTGCTTTTTAAACCAAGAGGGCGTGGTAGTGGAAGGAGCCGTAGACAGTGGCGTAGCGTGGGGGGTGCAGGGGGGGCTGGCCGCACCGGGCGCAACATCTGGGGGTTAGGGTTAGGGGGCGCAAATCCACGGGTTAGGGGGCGCAAATTACTTGCCTTGCCCCGGGTGCTGACAACCCACGCTACGCCACTGGCCATAGAGTAGTGATGGAAATCAACTGTTAATCTCATTGGGTTGGTATAGGCCCCTGGTGGGAGCCTAACCAAATCTTGAATACTGGAATTTGGTTCTAAATCACAAGGGTCCTTTGGAGATGATTAGAGGTAGTTCCGCCCGCCCCTTTATGATCAGGAAATTTAGGGCAGTAACACCATTATGCCAGATTCCAAAATAATTTTCTTATTACTAAAGATGTTGGGATGCTCACCTCTCCTCAACGTGTCCTTGTCACAACAAGTGGGAACTGAAAGGAGCCCAGCGCTGCCAAGACTATGGAAGCTGAAGAAGACTGGGCTCAGGCATGGAGACCCTGCAAGCCTTGAGCCTCAGGTTTAGTTTCAGGCCATACATGCTACCATAAACAAAGACACTGCCTTAAAATCTCAAGTCACCCCCAGTCTGCCTGCTTACCTTGTGAATTTTTGGATATTAACACAGGGATGGGGTCAAACTCGTCTCCTGCCACCTTTTCAGAGCCCTCAGGGACATCGAAGCCAGAGATCAGGTTAGTATCTTCTGCAGCACGATGGGAGGAGGGGTGGAAGTTTTAAAAAGGAGCAAAAAGATAGAGCAGAGAAAGCTGGTTAGAAACCACCAAAACAACATTAGCTGCATGTGTTTTGTTGCAAAGAAGGATTAGCGGACGGAGAGTCTTCCCCAACCCGCCATGTCTTCCAGCTGTTTGGGTCGAAAAACTCCCATCACAGTCCCAAACAGCTGGACGACACACCAGGCGAGGAAAGGCAAGGTTGGAAGGTGGAGCTTTAAATTGTTACGAGTTAAAAAGGAGAGCGAGGTATAAACATGAAAAATAAACAGAAGCAGCGGCAGAGGCAGTTTTGTGAGAAAGAAAGCAGCCAGGCTGCGTTAGAGAGTTAGTAACGTTCCCAGGGACCTGATCTCACAAGGCACGAGAAAAGGCAGTGAAGAGAGAGAGAAGCCCAAGCCCTGGTTCAGTTGAGGCAACACTCTGCTCCACCAGAAGGGTGTGGGCCTCTGGCAGACTTCTTCTTATTATTTTGTAAAGAATTTATTTACCGCCCTATCCCCAGAGGTCTCAGGGCGGTTCACAGAACGCAGACTCATGGTGGGATCACCGTTTGTGAAGGCAAACATAGTCTACCACCCCCTTCGAGATGCCACAGTTGTGGAAAACAGGGCTCCTCCTCCAAGCCACGAGCTCAGTGATATTCCCACATGCTCCCAAGACACTCGCAGTGGAGGGCAAGGGGTTATTTCAGGCTGGCCCAGAGCTGTCAGGTGTGGTTTCAGTTCTGGCACAGATTTTGACAAGAGATCCCTTCGAGTCACTTTTGAAAAGTGGCAAACCCCCAGCAAAAGCAGCTGCCACTTAGTAGTCCTGCAACGGCAGAGCTCCCTAGTGGCATAAGGTGATGCTAGAAGAAACTCAGCATACCAGCTTCAGACAGTTTGTGCGCGCGCACACCCACACCCACCCACCCACCCACACAAGAGTAAGGCAACTTCTCCAAGGAATCAAATCTGCTTTCAAAAGTGCTACTGACTGGAAGAAATGCAAGGTCTGTAACATCCCCCCCCCCAACTTGTAAACAAAGATTGTTAATTTCTACCTCCACCAAGAGGAGGCCAGAAAATGACCTGGACTTCTTTTAGAGATGGGGAAGCTCCAGATATTCTACAGCTCTCAGCACCCCCAACTATGGACCATGCTAGCTGGGTTGAGTGAGTTGGAATCCAACAACATCTGGAGGACCACAAACAGACCCCTTTCCCTGCCTTATTTTGCTTATTTTGAAATTAAGCAGATCACCTTTCCCACTCATGTCATACACTTTCGCTTCTTCCCACACCCAGATTCCAACATAGAGAACAGCAGAATCCTAACTAACCCTAACTAAGCTCATCTGCTGCCAAGCCAGGTCTGAGGGGCCTGTATTAATTTACAAAGCCCTGAACAACTTAGGTCCAGGGTGCCCTAAGGGCCACTTAAACCCTTCTATCCCATCTTGATCACAGAGATTATCTGCAAGAGCGTTGTTGGTCATCCTGCAAGCTGTCAAGGCTCATCTGACAGCAATTCAAAACAGAACATTGTCCTGTGGAACACCCTGCCACTAGAGATTCAGCAGGTGCCTTCTGAGTCAATCTTTAAACACCTGCGGAAAACTCTTCTATTCTGCCAGGCTAATGTTGGGAATTAACAAGACATCTTTCCATAATGGCTAGTTGATGGTCTCCAATTTTAATTCTTTTGTTATATATAGAGACTATTGTACAACGCCCTGCAATGCAGGAATCACAACTAAAGAATCCCTGACAGATGGCCATCTAATCCTTATTTAGAAACCTCCAATGAAAGAGAGCCCACCACCTTCTGAGGTTAGCTGTTATACTAGCAAACAGCTCCTATCCTCAGAAACCTCATCCTAATGTTTAGAACAAGCTAGAACTGTAAATCACTCTTCGTTTCTTACTCCAGTGGAAGCAACATGGATCCGTTCCCGTTGCACTTGCTCACTGCACATCCAGCTACTGATAAAACTTAAAACTGGTGCTCTTGCTCATAACATTTTCCTTTGTCGCTCATGCTTCATATGCCCAGGAAAAGATGCTGATATACTAGAACTCCAGGCAGATGTAGCCCATACCAAGAGGAGTATCTTATTGCCACTTGGTGGGTAAAGCTCACCGGGGCCACGTGCAGGCAGTGTGGAGTGAGCCAGGAACTGAGAGCTGCAGGGGCAAAGAGCCCCACTAGGAGGCAAGAGCAGAGAACAAGCCAGGGGTAAAAAAAGCCAGGCCAGAAACGCAAGATGCGCTGGAGCTCCAGTAGATCTGGTCGCTCAAGGGAACGGGGCATAGCTCAGCCGCAGGGCAGCCGCTTTGAATATAGAAGGTCCCAGGTTCCATCTCCAGCATATGTGCCAACTCTATGGGGCAGAGGACAGCTCAGCTCCCCTCCCCAAAGTATGCAGTGATGGGGCTGACCCCCCCCAAAAAAAAATATTGAGGGGATGGGCCTTGCCAGGCCTCCCTGCAGCGACGGAGGGCCTCACTGGGCCTCGTGGTCTCCTTCCAACACTTGTGACATCACATGGGGGTGTTGCACGTGTGATGTCACGTGCATGCGACGAACCCCCCCCCCCCATTGTTGCGCGGCACTTGTGCCTCTGATCCTCAGCATCTCCATATAGGGCTGGGAGCTGCTGCAAGTCAGCATAGGCAATTCTGGACAGGTTAATGGTCTGACTCTGTATAAGGCAGCTTACTATGTTCACTTCCTCCTATGTTCAAGCAAGGCTCAGCTTGGAAAGAAGTCCTTATATCCCTTCCTGCCCAACACAGAGCCAATGGCCAGCCTGGGCTGGGGAGGTGGGACCAGGCCAGATTTGGAAAGCTCATTCCCAAAGGCCTGAAGCTACATTGCGAAACACACATGGCAGCGGTCAGCCGTTCCTAAAGCACTGCATATGTGCCAAGAGGACAATTAATTTATTTAGTGCTAGCCATGTGCATCCAGGGCACGTATCACCATCATCATTATTTGTTAAATGTATTAGTTGCTTTTGTGTCATGGCGACCCAGAGCTAACCCACACACATTAAGACTGGGGAGGGAGGTGATACATTAAAATATCCCACCCTCTCTAAAAGGTCATAAGTAGTTTAAAGCAAAAGGCCTGCTTAAAAAGGAATCTTTTTGCCTGGCACCTGAAGATATGCAATGATGGTGCTAGGCGAGCCTCCCCAGGGAGAGCATTCTGCAAGCAGGGAGCCACCAATGAAAAGACCCTGCTCTTTACAGGGTAACACAAACAAACGATGCTGAGAAGCAACATCTGACACAACCAAGTGGCGCACAGGCACGCAGCCCTCGATATCAGATTACACCCAAAGGATTCAACTGCCAGAGGTTTACAGCTGCTCGCCTCTGTTGGTGGGCCTGCCCCACAAGCAGCTTACATTTAGAGAGTGAGGATGGAGAGACGAGAGGAAGAGCAAGAACTCCACAGGCAAGCGCTGAAGGAACGCCAGCAAATTTGAAGCCCATATTTCAGACCAGGCTGGGCATATAGCATGGCCATTCCAACTTGGCACCTCAACCTGCCTGAGCTGCAGTGTCCACCATCTCCAGGCAGCACAGCAGAGCTCCTGTCAGCTTGAGAATCATATGGCCAGGCTGTCCTGGGCTGATGGAAGTTGCGGCCCAAAACATTTGGAAGGCACCAGGTTGGGAGTGGTTGAAATAGTGTGTTGCTCACTTCCTATGAGCCCAACTTGTAGCTCAAACACTTGGCCACTAAGCTGCATCAACTGTGAAAGAGCTATAACAAAAATGTTCGTGGAAGAAGGAAGTTTTGCACTGGGATCTGAAGAGAAAGACAGAGGAAGGGCGTGCCAAAGTAGGGGTTCTGCTCCTCCCCCATCCAGCCCCCAGAAACTCATGTTAAGAGATCACACTGGACCCAGGAAAGAAGAAATCAAGGCATTGTCATTTGGCACACAAAAATAATTTGGAACTAACAGCCCCTGCTAATTGAACCACCATCCTACCTTGGCACACAGGGACCACCACAGCTTTTAACACAGATGCTTCCACCACTTTCATGTTGGACATTTCTCCCATTCCCCAACCTCCTCTCCCATTTGTACAGAACACTTAAAGGTACTTTACCTTTGTGAGCTTGGGTTGAAACGGCTAAAGGAGCAAACTCATCCAGAAGGTCAGCAGCAGGATTAGAAAGCAGAGAGCAGTCAAGCAGGGAGTCCTCCCCAGTGACAGAATCTGATCGTCCCCCGGTTAGCAAGCAAGAAAACAGTACAGAGAAGAGGAGGTTAGCAGTCACACCTGGCAAGGTGTCTGCTTGCAACTCATCCTGAGCTTGAATGCATCAGTTTTTAAAATCCTGGGCTAAAGTGGGGACAAAATTAGTCGTTTTGAAAGGACTCGGCATATACAAGCAGCCTCTGAACAAATAAATTGATTTCAGGTGGTGGTGGTGTTCTTAAAAATATCAGCTTAAAGGGCTTTGGGAGATGCCTTGCTGCTTATTTAACAGCTCTGGATTTTAAGGAGTTGAAATTCAATGTGATAGGAGGATTACAGTTACAGCACTCTGGGCTGAACTGTAGATGAGACGGATTCTAATCTGTTAGCTCTGTGAGAGCGTGGTGTGGATAATGCCAAGGCTGCAGGTTGCAGAATGTTATGTTGTTTAATACTTTGCCTTATTTAAATGTGTAGCATTTGGAGAGAGGTTGTGCATATATATATATGCACCCCAGGGAAGGTGTATGGATCTTTTTAAAATTTCAAATTAACACTCTAAAGAAAAGTTCAGCTTGCAGACAGTGCTGAGAATGTAAGACACAGAAGCCCACCCATTTCTTCATCATGATGTCACCAGCTTGACATCATGGCCCGCCTGAGCTCAAGCCCCCACCAACCTGCTCTGTTTGAAGCCACAGAGTCTGTCTGCGATGATATATGCTGCGACACAGGAGCCTCAAGGCCTGGGATGAGACTCTCAACTGTTAGTTCAGCTTTTCCTTTCCGAAGGCACAAAGGAACAGAGCAGAAGCCAAAGTTAGGTGAGGTTCAGGAGAGGAAGAAAGGAAGAGAAGGCCATAGCCTGAAACACTAAGGCCTGGACATCCTACTGCAGGCAGAGACATTCCAACACCTGGATTGCACTACTAAATGTCAGTTTAGTCTGAGGGTGATTTTCAAAGGGATATTGCCATCGGCACAACTGTGCATTCCTGGCCACCCAGGAAAGCACAGAACAAGAAAGACCCAGCACACTGGTAGACCTGTGCAAGCCCAAACTTCCGAGTGTCAGTGAGGTTCCTTTCCAGACGTACCTCTGACAGCATCAATGCCACAGCCATGGGAGGAGATTCCATGCCCCCTCCAGGATGCAGAATCATGTGGGCAGGGACAACTGCAGGGGTTCTTTCAACCTGACCCTATGGCCAGGTGAAGATGGTGCAAGCAGCAGGTCCCTGGGGACGCCCTGGGCAACTGGCCCTGCCCACTGAGCTGTGATATTCAGATGTATTCTGTACAGCAGAGCTTCTCTCGTTGCTAGGGATGAGCAGATGGAGCCTGTCAGGCTCACGTTCCTTATTGCCCCCATGTGCTTTCTAACACATGTAGACAAGTCTCAAAAACGGAAGCATGCAGCCCAGACTCCTGGGATTCAGTATCATTATAAGGCTTGGCTTTAACATGCCATGAAACGTCAGTAGCTGGTTCGATTTCTTCTTCCGGCCAATAGGCAGCTGGAAATAATTTGCTACTTAAAATGCTTAGGAAGGGTCTCTTTAGCTTTCCAAAAGTGTCCAGGATTACGGCATGCATTGAAGTGAAAAAAAGATGTGCTTGCAACACTGGTGGCTTAAGTGCGCCTTTCAAGATACATTTTGGGAAAAGGAACATCAGGTATATATTTATGGCTATTCCATACATGCCACAGCTTTAAAAACCCCAATTTAATTCTCAGCTTTGTGAAGGGAAGATATGGCACAAGGGAGACCAGAGGATGGACTAGGCCAGCCAGCCAGTCTTGTCTGGGCCCATTCAGGATGCTCTGGGAGCTTAGGCTTGCAAGGGCCAGAGGGTGTTTTGTATCCCGAGCTTTTAAGCCTTTGAACAAGGGAAAGAATGAGGCAGAGAGAAACAAAAATCTGAGGAGAAAAGCACCGAGGCTCCTCAAGAGCAAGAGAGACCCAGGCACGCCAAACCATTTCTAAGGATGCAAGAAGAAACACAGCAGAAATAGGTGGACGCATCATTTCAGAGCAGGAAAGTGGGGAGGGGGGATGAAGTGAGGCCCTCTGGTGGATCAGGGATGGGTTATGTTAGTAGATTGCAGAGAGGAGGGATAAATAGACAGCTCTCTGGATGGAACGAAGTAGAAAGTGGAGTCTCTCAGGGATCAGAATTGGGACCTGAGCTTTTTAGCTTGCTCATAACCATCTAGAGTTAGGGGTGAGCTGTGAGGTAGCCAAGTTTGCTGACAGTGCTAAATTGCTCAGGCTCTGTAAAACAGAGATTGCAAAGAGCTGCGAAAGTAACCTCTCCAAACTGAAGAAATAGGCAGAAAAATGGCAAATGCAATTCAATGTAAACAAGTGTAAGGTGATGCACGTCAGGGCAAAAAGATATTAATTTCACGTATAAGCTCATAGGGACTGAACTGTAGGTGAATGACTGGGAACGAGACCTTGGGGGTCATAGTAGATAGCTCAATGAAGATGTCGACCCCGTGTAGGGCAGCTGTGAGAAAGGCAAACTCCGTGCTAGGGATCACCAGGGAAGGAACGGAAGATAAAACTGCCAGTATCATAATACAGTACAATTAAGTAAATCTATGGCGCTACTGCATTTGGAATACCCGGTACAGTTCTGGTTGCCTCACCTTGGAAAGGATATTGTAGAGTTGGAAAAAGTTCAGAAAAGAGCAACCAAAATGATCAAGGGGATGGAGAGACTCCCTTATGACGTTTGGGACTTTTTTGCTTAGGGAAAAGGTGAGTAGGAGACAACATGCTAGAAGCATATAAAATTATGCATGGTATAGAGAAACAGATTACAATTTGCATTGGCATTCTAGATACTTGGACAGACTTGCCTAAACTAATATGTTTTTAGCAAGTGCTGATAAGAATACAGTGAAGGCACCTGCCTGATATCCACAGGCAGGGAGATCCAGTGCTGCCACACTAAAATTTCAAATTCTTACGAACACTGGACACGTATTATGTGGCACCTGTAACAATGCCAGTTTTGCCAATCAAAGAGGTCAAGTGGGCATATATGGAGTAAAGTAATCTCATACTTCTGTTTAAATAATAATAATAATAATAATAATAATAATAATAATAATAATAATTTATTTGTACCCCGCCCATCTGGCTGGGTTCCCCAGCCACTCTGGGCGGCTTCCAACAAAGATGAAAAATACACTAAAATGTCACATATTAAAAACTTCCCTGAACAGGGCTGCCTTCAGATGTCTTCTGAATGTCAGGTAGTTGTTTATCGCTTTGACATCTGATGGGAGGGCGTTCCTCAGGACAGGCGCCACTACCGAGAAGGCCCTCTGCCTGGTTCCCTGTAACTTGGCCTCTCGCAGTGAGGGAACCGCCAGAAGGCCCTCGGAACTGGACCTCAGTGTCCGGGCAGAACGATGGGGGAGGAGACGCTCCTTCAGATATACTGGACCGAGGCCGTTTAGGGTTTTAAAGGTCAGCACCAACACTTTGAATTGTGCTCGGAAACGTACTGGGAGCCAATGTAGGTCTTTCAAGACCGGTGTTATATGGTCTCGGCGGCCGCTCCCAGTCACCAGTCTAGCTGCCGCATTCTGGATTAGTTGTAGTTTCCGGGTCACCTTCAAAGGTAGCCCCACGTAGAGCGCATTACAGTAGTCCAAGCGGGAGATAACCAGAGCATGCACCACTCTGGTGAGACAGTCTGCAGGCAGATAGGGTCTCAGCCTACGTACCAGATGGAGCTGGTAAACAGCTGCCCTGGACACAGAATTGACCTGTGCCTCCATGGACAGCTGCAAGTCCAAAATGACTCCCAGGCTGCGCACCTGATCCTTCAGGGGCACAGTTACCCCATTCAGGACCAGGGAATCCTCCACACCTGCCCGCCTCCAGGCAGCCAATCTGAGCTCAGCCAATAATTTGTCCGTTCCCCCCTAAGGTGGGGAACCTTTGGCTCTCCAGATGCTGCTGAACTACAACTCCCATCATTCTTAGTCATCAACCATGTTTGCTAGCGCTGACCGGAGCTGCAAGTTCAGTAACATCTGAAGAGCCAAAGATTCCCCACGTCTGCCCAGTGAATGAGCCTTTTGTGCCCCCCTGTATAATTTGAAGTCCATTCACATCAGGATTCTGCCATCCCATTTTTGCTGCACATGTAGATCTGGCCTGAGTTTCCCACTGGGGAAGGATAAAAATGAGAGGAAGAAGTGATAGATTACAGAAAGCGGAGAATTAGTGGAACAAGGGAAGGGGATGGTTTGGCGGTGATGCCCAGGGTGCAGGAACTTAATATGTCTGATTCGCAGACTCAGCGATAGGCTAGTGAATTCCAAACACTGAACAACATCCTATGACCCTCTGTCTCCCAAAGTCACTTTTTGTGGGCTCTGGCTGGCTTGACCTCTGGGCACATGCTTGCTACGGTTCAAAACATGCAGTGCTGGTGGGTCAACATGCAGGACAGAACACGCCAGAGAGGCTTTTCAGGATTTTACCATTCACAGCATCAGGGGTGCTACCGAAGGGATCAGCGAGAGGCAGGATATCAGGGAGGAGGAGTGCAGGCTCAGGAGATTTGAGGCCCTCAATCAGTTTTTCTAGCAGGGGAGGGGGAGAGAGCAGGAAATGAGGAAGGAGAGAAGCAGAAAGAAATAAAGCAAAAATCACAAAAAATTGGTTAAAGCAGAACAGCAGTTGTTCAACAAGGTCAACAACGCACCTAACATTTAAAGGATTTCTATCAGGGTTATTTTCACCAATATATGCATTTAATTGCAGATATGGATCCTTTGGTTAAGCATGCAACAACCTGAAAAGTCAGGGCCCTGGATTTTTCCTTTAATAACTGAATCACATAAACAGAAACAAGACCACAGACACTTTTTTTACTTCTTGTAACCTCCCCAAGGTGTCCCATTTAATTGGCTCATCACAGTGAATGTTCTAGCATCCTTGCACTAAAACATCTAGTTAGCCAGTGGAGAATTGGCCCAGAATTGTTGCTGACTCCTTTTCAAACACACACACACACACACACACACCCCCAAAGCACCAAGCTAAACTATACAAATTAATCAATATGCATTGCCTGTTCCTTTTAGTTTGAGTGTGGGGGTTTTTTTGGAGACACACTGGATTTTTAAAATGTAGGATTTCAATTAACCTCTTAAGAGTGCTCAGTTTTCTAGGCTCAGTCAGACTTGATGATGTCTGGAATATGTTTGGAAGTGGGCATTTAACATAAATGATAGAAGGAGAAAATCAGTAAAGGAATAGAAGGAGGTGTTAGGACTGCAAAAATCTCAAATGGCCACATTTCATCTGAAGCTGCCCCACCACCAGACACAGACACAGAGCTTTTTCTCAGCTTATCAACACGGAGAGAAGGAACAGTAAAAGCACATCATTGGCATTAGTAACTTTCTCCCGCCCTCCCCGACTCCAAGTCTTCAGGAATGGGTACCAGCAGGCCACGGCTCAAATGCACTTCTGTGTGTAAGGAGAGCTGCAGAATCCCAAAGGCATTCATGAAACACAGAGACCTGTAAACTGCATGCTCCTGTTTCTGTGCAAGTGCTGTGGTTAGTTCACAAAAACTTTGCAAAACAACCATGCATGGTATTAGCTACATCATAGAAAGATGAGTCACAAATCCTACAAATCGTTGCCCCCCTTTTATTGCACGTGGCCAAAAGAAAAGAATTAATCCTAGTTAATGCCTAAGGCCAGGGGTGAATTGTCCAGTGGGATTCTGGGCTGTGTGCTTTCTGTGGTCTTACTCCCTGGAACGCGTAGGGGAAAGTCCTATAGATGTCCCTTCTCCCTCCAAATCTGGCAGGGATGTTTTCAGCAACCTGCATGTTCTGCTACAGCAGTTTTATGGCAGATGTTTGGTTGTGACCTGGGACCTCATGCCACGGGGGAGCCTTGCCCAACCTGATGCCCTCCAGGTGTACGAAGTACGTCTCCCATCAATCCCAGCCAGCATGGCAACCACAGGGGACAGGCTTTGGTGCAGCATTTCAGAGCTTCTTGTTTAATTTCAGTGCTTTGCACCATCCCCATAGTGTGCACAGAAGCTCCCAAAGTTGATTCGGTGCAGTAAAGCCAGAACCTCCCTTAATTTACACTCAAGCAGAAGCAGGTGCAATTATTGTCTCCAAGATCTCTTGAATATCTGCCATTGTCACACAGTGATAAGTGGCTTGACTTCTCTATTTGGGACTCTCACATCCCAGAAGCCAACATGATTTCTTTCTCTCTCTTTTGGCCTTTTCTCCCCCAAAGACAAAATGAATTATGCATTATGCAAATTATATTCCTGGAGGACTGCAATTAGTAGATTTGCATGAAGAGGGCTTTGAATCTCTCAACAGCTGTGTGCAAATTTTTCTCTGGCTGATTTGCTGTGTGCATGCACATTTAAGTAGCCAGGATCTGCATGAAAGGGGGGGGGGGAATCTTAAAATGGACATGGGAATAAAAAAAACATACTGATTCCTCTTTTCCAGCCACTGGTGTAATCCAGCACTAGACCTGCAGCAACAAATTCAAAAAGTGCAGAATTCTAGCCGGAAAGGAAGAATTGGGAGCACATTTTAGAATGTGCTAATTCTCCCTTTGAAGTTAAAGCACCTGACCTCATGTGCACTGACAGGTGGGATGACCCTGTGGGGTGGGAGACTTTTGGATCCCGCCTGCTGACCAGATTCAGTTCCCCACTCCCTGGTGAATACGACAGCAGCCTTAGCGTACAACTTATCTGGGAGTGTGAGCTTAATGGGCTGTGCTTCTGAACAAATGCATACAGTGATATCCTATCAGAGCCAGTGTGATGCTGTGGTCAGAGTAGGACCTGGGCCATGAAGCTCATTTATGGGCGGGGCGGGGCTTGGCTGTCAGTCTAACCTATCTCACAGGGTTGTTTATGGAGATTAAATGAGATTAAAGAGGAAGGACCATGTACTCCACCTTGGGCTCCATGGAGAACAAGGTGAGATATAAATGCAATAAATAGTAAAGGTACCCCTGCCCGTACAGGCCAGTCTTGCCAGACTCTAGGGTTGTGCGCTCATCTCACTCTATAGGCCGGGAGCCAGCGCTGTCCGCAGACACTTCTAGGTCACGTGGCCAGCGTGACAAGCTGCATCTGGCGAGCCAGAGCAGCACACGGAAACGCCGTTTACCTTCCCGCTGGTAAGCGGTCCCTATTTATCTACTTGCACCCAGGGGTGCTTTCGAACTGCTAGGTTGGCAGGCGCTGGGACCGAGCAGCGGGAGCGCACCCCGCCACGGGGATTCGAACCGCCGACCTGACGATCGGCAAGTCCTAGGTGCTGAGGTTTTACCCACAGCGCCACCCACGTCCTCAAATGCAATAAATAAATAATAATAAAATAAGTGATGTAAAAAACGGCTAAACCAGGTGAGGGTAACCAATGGGCCTCAAACCCTTAGTGAGTTAGGGACTTCACCTATATGTGAAGACAGGCTCTGGCGGATGAGTGGGTCCAATGGTCAAGAACGTGATTTCTGCATGTGCTGCAGAGGGAAGTGAGGGGCAGATGGGGCTCATCAACCTGGGAATTATGAGAATGAAAACTCTGATCCGAAACCTCTGCTGCCTTCTGGGATTCAGGAGAAGAAAAGACTAAGGAGAAAGCCAGGGTGGAGTCCCTAAGGCAGATAGATGGTGCCTTGCATGCCTCCTTCCAGCAACTCCTATAGCCAAACTGGTGCCAAACCTATTGCTCGGCTTTCCTTTGGACCACACTAGTAAGGGGAGTCTTATCATCTGGGCAATCACACAAGAGGGGAGTCTTATCATCTGGGCAAACCAGGACCTCCATAAACACTGCCCAGGCTTGAGCCCCAGGGAGGTCATCAGTGCTGCTAGCGGTGTTGTTTGACTTCACCCCTGGAGGTACACTCCACTGTCTCTCAAGACAGATGAATACCAACAGCTACAAGATATAAAAAACAACAACACAGGGCTCCAGCTGAGAACAGGGGCTTCCTCCTCCACACGGAGAGGAGAAGGAAAGGCAACAGAAGAAAGTTGTTGCAAGCTCCACCCCCCCCCCTTATTCCCATCGGTTTTCAGAGGCTGCTGCTCCCTTTGTCAGCTTTGCAAAGCAGGTGGAAGGTGGATGTGAGTATTACTTTACCCTTGCGCAAGGTTGCAGTGGGCACGGTTGAGTCAGGTGGAGCTGTTTCAGCAAGTGACCTTGGGGATAAAAATATTTGCTTTTGCCACCTGGGCTTCTCTTTTAAAACCACCCCATGCTGTCTGCATGTCCTGGCTAAACATCCAAAAATAAACAAACAGTGCACAAGTTACAGCAGGCATCCTTAATTAGGGTGGAAAAAAGAAACTCTCCCAAAATGCAATTCAACAATTATTAATTATCACTTTGAATAATCAAGATGCACAAAACAAAAAACCACCCCATAGGCTTTTTGAGCATGTTACTCACTCTTCAACCATGGAAGGAAAGAAAAGGACAGCTATTTCAATAAAGCACACAGCAGCATAGTCCTTTTCCTTGGACATCAGCTGGGGAAGAAAAACTATCTAGTAAGAATCCCGTCAAACAGCACATTCAGAATACCAGGCTTAAGAGCAGCTTTTGCCAGCCTAGTGCCCTCCAAATGTTTTGGGACTACGACGCCCACCAGCCCTAGCCAGCACAGCTGTATAGCACTGCAGCTGATGGGAGAATGACCATGCTGGCTGGGGCTAATGGACTTGCAGTCCAAAACATCTGGAGGGCACCAATTTGGCAAAGGCTGGCTAAAGACCATGGGGCCTTTCCAAGCAGCTGCTCTAGGTAGCTGCCTTGTTTTTAACCTTTGAGGTGTCAACAAACCAAAGGGCACATGTTGTTCTCCAAAACAAGTCAATCCCATCTTAGGAGCTCGTTACAAAGGGCGGCTAAAACTGTAGAAGGAGAAAGGAAAGCACATATTTCATGCCTTTTGTCTGTGAAATCCAAACACAGCTCATGGAAAAAACTGAATCTGGTATCCAGAAAACACGCAATGCTTCTTTTGCACTGCATAAATTATTTTGGGTTTTGCTAGTCTTGGAGGAAGAGCAGAGAAGTACCGTATTTTTTTGCTCTATAAGATGCACTTTCCCCCTCCTAAAAAGTAAGGGGAAATGTGTGTGCTTCTTGTGGAGCGAATGCAGGCTGCGCAGCTATCCCTGAAGCCAGGAGAGCGAAAAATACGGTAGTTATGCTGTGGGACTTTGGAAATCTACCCATGTGGCTACTAAGATTTCAGCAAGCAGGTCCCCCCCCTATCCTTTCAAGCATGTCTATACAGCTATAAGGACTATTAAAAAAACTGCTTTGCAGGGCTGGGTGTAAGTGGGGAGATGAAAAGAGATTTTCTAGAAACAAAATTTTGCATGTAACAGCTATTGGCCTGACAATCATTCTCACCACCAGTACCTCGTTTTATTTATGAAATAACAGGCATCAGAGAGAAGGGCTTGCAGTTCTGCCATGCTTTCATTTGACTGCAGCATATGTTGTTAAAACAGCAGCCAGAGAGGGAGAATCTCCTCGAAGGCTGTGAATTTAACCATTGATAGTGAAACTATGCTGGACAGGACATGCCAGCCAGTCACCGGCCTTACCTTGCCTTGTGGCTGGGAGGGCTCAACCTCATGAGAAAAAAGAGGTGGGAGGAACTAGTGCCTGGTGCACAGAATTAAAAGCATTAGCAAGACAGCCTGCCATGAGCTTATTTTAAGGAGACTTGGCTCCCTTCCATTCCAAGGCAAGAGAAGATGAATGCCTTGAGCATTCTCATTTCTCAGTATTTGAACAGATGCTTTGCCGTCACCTCTGTCCTTCTTGCAGCAGTTACATTTCCATTAGCAGTTGCAGCACATGAGTAGCAAATAAAGCACTATTTAAAAAATAAAAGCCAGATTACACCAAAGCACATTAATTCACCGGGAACAGATCCCATGAAAACCCACTGATATGAGAGGAGAAGCAGAACAGGGACCTTTCTTCGAATTAATAGATTTTAAAATGTTCAGCTGGTACATATGGATTTATCCATCATTCCCTTATTACAACCTCCCCACCCCAGTAACTTCTGATGAGTCCCTGAGAGCATGCCAGGCCAACATTTATCGGTTACCTAAGAGACAACATCCACTAATATATTTTCTACCATGATCGCCAAATGAACCCAACCCACTTTGAACCCAACCCACCTGAGAACCAAGTCTGGACCAGAAGGGTGCTCAGAGGAGCTGCTGTCATCCAGGTGCCTTCAAGAAGCACCCTGAAGCAAACAGGTGACTCTCAAGTCGTACTCTGAATGGTTCAACATAACACACCATCTGAATTCACTTACTGACATTTGTATACAAGGCCACCCAAACAGTCACTTTGGGCAGCAACACCTTTGAGTGGGATCCCTTCTGCTAAATCATATCTTGTTTATGCAAGTCACAGTTACCTGGCGTATCTGACAGTGGAAGAGGAATGAAAGGATCGGGAACAGCCAGAAGTGGAGGGCTAGAGTCCAAGATATCTTTTGTTTTTTCAGCTGGGTGAGCAGCAAGGGGGAAGTTAGGAAAGGAAGGAATGGAGAGGGGGGAGAGAGAGAGAGAGAGGAAGAGAGAAAGAGAGATGTCAAGCAGAGCACAGGGAGATGCCAAACAGACCAAAGTTGCATTGAAAAGTCATTTAATTGCCACATGAATCGGGGGTACGGCAGTATTACCCTCCCACCTCCATGGGACCCCTCCAGCAAGCTGCAGATATTATTCAACCAAAAAGTTTATCAGTGAATTATTGGTGAGTTGATCCAAGGTCACAGTAGACCACCCACAGAACCAAAGTAACAACTCTTCTTCCAAGGGCATCAGGTCATTCCACCCTCTCCAAACTCGACAGTTCACATGGCGAGGATTAATTCATTATTCATATGTTCTGTTAGCCTTGGGGAGGGCTACTGTGATTCTTTGAGAGTGTTGCAACTGAGTGAAGTCTCTAAGTCAAGATGCATGGCTATAAGGTACCTCGCAAGACAAATGCCTCGCAAGACAAAAAACTCGCTAGACGAAAGGGTTTTTTGAGCTGCTTCGCAAGACGATTTTCCCTATGGGCTTGCTTCGCAAGACGGAAACGTCTTGCGAGTTTGTTTCCTTTTTCTTAACACCGTTAGTACAGTTGCGACTTGACTTCGAGGAGCAACTCATAGCACGCGGTGTGGTAGCCTTTTTTGAGGTTTTTAAGGACTTTGGTGATTTTTGAAGCTTTTCCAAAACTTTCCCGACACCATGCTTCGCAAGACGAAAAAAATCGCAAGACGACAAAACTCGCGGAACGAATTAATTTCGTCTTGCGAGGCACCACTGTACTATATTATTACTCTTACCGACAGCTTTATACCACTATTCATTAAGTTTCATAATGGTTTATAAAACCATCCAATAAAAACGGCAAAATCAAATTGATAAAACCCTCAAAAAGCAGAGCAGAGGCAAGCAGTGCCAGAACTCAAAGGCCCTCTGAAAAACATTGGACTTCTCCAAGAAGGCTGAGGCTGAATGAACCTCCCTTGGGGGAAAGTTCCGGAGCAATGGGGCTGCTGCACAGAAGACCCTGCTCCATAAAAAAAATACAAAACATTAAAACAAATAAACCAATATAAAACAATCCCATATTCCCTGTTCCTTGCAATGGTTTATCTGAAACTTTCAGCAGGATTTCTACAGATGATCTTAAATGCAAGGAGACATCCCCTGAGATAATCAGAACTCAAGCAGTTTATGGCTCTAAGTGTCAAAAGCAGCAGTTTGAATTGTCCCATGATCAAATGGCAGCCAGCGCAGCTGCTTCAGGAGACAAGAGATGAGAAGACTGGCCCACAGCTGTCCACAGGCGGACCTCTGAGTTCTGCACTACCTGAAAGCTGGAAGCACGACTCATATTTCAATGTTGTGGGCCCAACTCTACAGAGGGCCTACCCACAAGAAGTTTAGACTGGCACCACCCGTAACTGAGTTTTTTAGGTGTCTGGTCAAAACAGTTTTATTCAAGTAGACCTTTGCACCCTGAATGCTGCTCAGATGTTTCCCTTTTTTCTTTTCTCGAGATTTTAAATTCCTCAAGTTTTAGACTTTGGAGCTTTAATTCATGTTTTAAAATTTGTGCATTGTATGTGTGTGTGTATATATATATATATATATATATTGCTGTGAGACCTACATAGTAAAAAGCAGGATATGTTTTTAATAAATAAATAAATAAAGTTCCCAAACTATTTTCAAAGTCAGCCACACATGCAGCACATTGCAGTTGGACAGCCTTCCCCAAACTGGTGGCTCCTGGAACTCCCATCAGCCCTAATTGCCATGTTCTGGGATGATGGGAGTCCAAAAATGTCTAGAGGACAGTGGATTGGGAAAGGCTTAAGTAGCATAATCTTGAAGTCACTCCAGAATTTATGACAACTACCAGGTTTGTGTTTTATGGAGTATCCACCAAAGCTCTGGGCCACAGTTGCTGCCTCATCGCATTTAGCATTTAACATGAAAATATAGCAGGTAAAGCACACATTCAGGCTACTTGCCGACTATTCTTAAAGCTCTGTGCTCTTCTCCAAGATGGTCTCAGCACACAGCAGGGGCTTCCAGCAGCTCCAGAAACCAGCCAGACTCAATAAAAACCTGATCATACTCCATGAGATTAGAGGCAGGACTGGATCTAGGCTGGTCAGCTTCTCTAAGCCTGCAGAAGGCACCCAGGTTTTAGAAGGAAGCTAATGAACTGTCCTGGGACGTGGGTGGCGCTGTGGGTAAAAGCCTCAGCGCCTAGGGCTTGCCGATCGAAAGGTTGGCGGTTTGAATCCCCGCTGTGGGGTGCGCTCCCGTCGCTCGGTCCCAGCGCCTGCCAACCTAGCAGTTCGAAAGCACCCCCGGGTGCAAGTAGATAAATAGGGACCGCTTACTGGCGGGAAGGTAAACGGCGTTCCGTGTGCTGTGCTGGCTCGCCAGATGCAGCTTTGTCATGCTGGCCACGTGACCCGGAAGTGTCTCCGGACAGCACTGGCCCCCAGCCTCTTGAGTGAGATGGGCGCACAACCCTAGAGTCTGGCAAGACTGGCCCGTACGGGCAGGGGTACCTTTACCTTTACTAATGAACTGTCCACTCCAGATGGAATCAAGTACAGCTCTTCCCGGGTCCCCACTTTTTCCACTTGTTGATTCATCTCTGAAGCAGGTGCTGCCCGCACTTGGCTAAGGGAATGAAGAGCCTTACAGCTTGAGGCTGGGTCCTGGCCTCACAACTACCCAGAACCATGAGTCCTCTCCAGGCACAGGATAGACTGGAGTGTGCAGTACCAACCCCTGTAAATGGCAGGCAGTAATAAGCCTCCCAATTGACCAGGCTTGGCATAAATGCCAAGAACCTGGTCCGTCTGCTTAGCTAAGAGGGCAGCAGCTTTTGCCTCAAACACTTCACACTACAGGTCCTGCCCCCTCAGGGAACCTGGGCTGGAGATCTGGATATAGGAGTCACCTGGCCCAAACATAGCTGACCAACTTGCAGCTGAGGCCCTGTGCTCCCCTATCCTCAGCTTGGCCACCCTCATAATGCCCACTTGTAGCCTGCCTTCCATCTCCCCCTGATGGCAACTGAAAGAGACACAAGCAGAGTCCAGAATCAGCCTGACAAGCACTGCCTGCTTCCATTGGAAAGAGCTTCTGCATTGAATTGGTCGGAGCTGCAAATAATATTCCTTTTGGGCATACCTGACACAGGTGCAAGAGAAGATGAGCCAAACGCATCTGCCTGTGTTGTGGAAGGAGCCGGTTGAAAGCCTGGGATCAGATTCTCTGCTGAGCTACCCAGCTTCTCTGGAAGTTTACCTGAAATTCCAAGGACCTAGTTATTTTTAAATATATTTTATATAATTTAAAATACAATAAGAAACAACAACAAAATTCTGCCATTTCTTGGGAAAAGGCATTAACAGCAGCTTGATGTTAGAACCAGTTTATAATGCATATTAAAGTCTCCAGTCCAATAGGTCTCTCCAGATGTTTCCATGTGTCTGGGGCGGTTCTCTCGATTGTCATGACTCATATAGGAGATGAGTGGATGGCACCTGTGGTGAAAGGATTCATCTTGTTTCTGGCCACCCTGACCTGGCAGGTCAATTTGTTGGACAGAGCAACAGACCATACCTGAGCACACCGTGAGTCTCTTGACAGGCCTACTGCACAGCGCCAACATTTAGCTATTTCTAAACAAGCAGCGACCAACAAAAATGTCAACATCTCCCGATGAGATAAAAGTTGGTTTGATTCATCTATTATTACTAACAAGCCAACAAAGGAGCTGGCTTTATCTTTATATTACAAATTAATCAAGGACTTGGTTATTAAGTGCTCTTATCCATCATGAGTTGCTAAGCATATCTTGGAAATATTCCAACCCCCCCCCCCCGATATTACTATTATTCATACTTATTGCAAGCCAGAGCTAGACCTGGTTTCTCAGTTTTAAGGATATAATAATAATAATAATAATAATAATAATAATAATTTATTTGTACCCCGCCCATCTGGCTGGGTTTCCCCAGCCACTCTGGGCGGCTTCCATAGAAACCAAAAAACACTAAAATATCATACATTAAAAACTTCCCTGAACAGGGCTGCCTTAAGATGTCTTCTGAATGTCAGGTAGTTGTTTATCGTTTTGACATCTGATGGGAGGGTGTTCCACAGGGCGGGTGCCACTACCGAGAAGGCCCTCTGCCTGGTTCCCTGTAACTTGGCCTCTCGCAGTGAGGGAACCGCCAGAAGGCCCTCGGAGCTGGACCTCAGTGTCCGGGCAGAACGATGGGGGAGGAGACGCTCCTTCAGGTATACTGGGCCGAGGCCGTTTAGGGCTTTAAAGGTCAGCACCAACACTTTGAATTGTGCTCGGAAATGTACTGGGAGCCAATGTAGGTCTTTCAAGACCGGTGTTATGTGGTCTCGGCGGCCGCCCCCAGTCACCAGTCTAGCTGCCGCATTCTGGATTAGCTGTAGTTTCCGAGTCACCTTCAAAGGTAGCCCCACGTAGAGCGCATTGCAGTAACTAATCCAAACAACTAATCAGCAACTAAGCCAAACAGAAACTCCACATGTTGCTCCTTCACACTTACTAGGATTGTTCCTGATGCTTTTTTGGGGAGGAAACCGGTGCCAGTCTACAATCATCAAAACATACTAGGGAATAGTCCACACTGAACAGAGTTAGAATACTTCCCAAGCAAACAAGCATAGGTTTGCACTTTGAGAAAAACAACATATGGTATGTCTTTTGGTTGCCACTAGGATACCAAGAAATGCAACAATTGCATTTAAAAATCTTATGCCGCTGATGGTTCTGACAAAGCATTGAGGATAGTGAACTCTGGCTGATAGCACAGTATAAACGCAACTGCCAGTGGACTCCCACAACACTGGCCCACAGCTGCTGATCACACTGTGGATGATTTCAGGGGAAGTCTATTTCAAGTCTATTTCAGGGAAAGTCAGCCAACAATGGTCATATACTGCCACCACAGCTGTTTCCCTCTGTAGCCTCAGAAGCCTGGAAGGTGAAAGTAAAGTCAGCAAGTAGAATTATGTTGTGCCAAATTAACATTGAAATATGAAATTTATCAAGTGCAGGGGATGGGACCTCTGTCTGACCGATTATGAGAACTCCAATGGTCTTGATTTAGGCCACTGGACCAAGACAGCCTTTAAAAAAGCCAGCTTTGGTCTCAAGGAAAAGCCTAGAAAGTTTTGGGAGGCCCTTCATCTTCAACAACCTAGGCTGCCACAGCTTCCACTCTGAGGGGACTTTAGCCACTACTGGATTGCACTAACCATCACTCAGTTTTGCAAAATCCTTGTTCAGCAGCTCCTCTGCTGTGAGCTTGGAGAAGTTGTCGTCATCAAAAGGGTTCCAGGTAGAGACATCTGGTGGATTGTAGACATTTTGCTGCGATGTCCTGGGGGATCCAGAAGGCGTTGTCGAGGCAGACCTGTAGGAAGCCACCCCAAAAAGGGAACAAAAACGGGACATTCAGTTGCCATCTTTATTTCCTAACGCCATTGCAATGTCTACAGGTGCTGTTGAATGTGTGCTGAATATGCAACTGGGTAGACTCTGACGTTCTGTTCAGCTCTGTGAGCCTGAAAATTGTCCACGCAGATTCATATAGGCAACTCCCCCCCCCATTTACACGCACATGGGCAAAGCAAAAAGGGACAGAACAAGGTGTTTGCAAGCTTTTCCAATTGTTTCAAATATACAGTGGTACCTCTGGATGCGAACGGGATCCATTCCGGAGCCCCGTTCACATCCTGAAGCGAACGCAACTAGCGTCTGTGTGGGTCATGATTCTCCGCTTCTGCGCATGACGTCATTTTGAGAGTCTGCGCATGCACGAGCGGCAAAACCCAGAAGTAACTCGCTCCGTTACTTCTGGGTCGCCACAGAGCACAACCCGAAAATGCTCAACCCTAAGCTACTTCAACCCGAGGTATGACTGTAACAATTTCACTTAAACACGTGGTGCCTTAGAACGTCACAATACACACCACAAATGGGGGTTGCCTGTACTTTCAACTGGAAACCCAGCCCAGCAGTGAAGTTGGTCCACAGGATAGCTCCATATCTCAAAGACAACCCGTGTGTGTGTGTGAGCGCGCGGCCACCCACCCTCCCTTTAGTGTCTCTTCCCCAAACAGAGGCCCAGACAAAAGCCTCTTCAATCATAATAACATACGCTTTAAAAGAGGATTTGACAAATTTATGATGTAGGAGCATAGCAATGATGGCTACGCTCTGCCTCCACAATCAGAGGCAGCCATGCTTCTGAACGCCAGTTTCTGGAAACCACAGAAAGGGAGGGTGCTCTCGAATCCCCCTTGCAGGCTTCCCACAGGCCTCTGGCTGGCCACTGTGAGAACAGGACTAGATGGGCGATTGGCCTGATCCAGCAGGCTCTTCTGGTGTTCTTACGTTAAGCTTGGTTGCTAGCCCAGGGTTATAAATGCTCCTCTTGCAACTCAAGCACACGCCTCTGTTCGTTCCAAGAGCAACAGCAGGAAGGAGATTAGGACATGGCGCAAGAAAGGCTGCCCCCACATCAGAACAAAACATAAAGAGAATCAAAATGCACAAAGGGTCATTTAGCAGGAAGAAGAGACCGACCCCCCCCCAAAAAAATACACACTTGGACTTGTTGAGGCTAGCCTCAGCAGCCGCTGCCTGCAGAAGCTGTGTTGATTTGCTGGCTGGGACCCCGAAGACAGTGCTGTGCGTCACGTCACTCAGGATCCTCCGGTGTCCCGCTCGCTGAGTCTTGGGGGAGGACGGGGGAGTGAGGGAGCCCACCTTCTGCCCCTGGACAGCTGACGGCGGGGTGGTGGGGATCCTTTGATGTCGTGGAGGCGCTTGCTGGGGGAGAGGAGAAAGTTAACCGAGTTTATTTCCTTAACCACAGCAGTTGCAAAGCTGTTTCTTAGAAGCTGAAGGGACAACCCAAACTCTGCGATTTGTCCCGTTGGCGGGGAGGGGGGGCAAAAGGCAGAGAGGATAAAAATAGAAGGTAGACCCCTTTCGGGCAAAAATGGAAGAAAGACCCAGAACTTTACTCCCTCAACATTTTATTCAGCCAAACCTAGAAGACCAACAGACCAGAAGAGAGACCTTCATGCACACAGCATCTCCAAGCCACAACAGTTCGCTCACAGAAGAGGCAGCATGGTGCAGTGGTTAGAGGGTCGGACTAGGACCTGGAAGACCAGAGTCCAAATTCCCACACAACCATGAAGTTCACTGGGAGTCCCTCTCAGCCTAGCCTACCCCACTGGGTTGTGGTGGGGATTAAATGAGGAGAAGGAGAACCATGGGCACAACTTTGAGCTCCTGGCAGCCCTTCTGTTCCTTTTTTTAAAAAAATAGTTTTTATTAAATATTAGTAAAGGTAAAGGTACCCCTGCCCGTACGGGCTAGTCTTGCCAGACTCTAGGGTTGTGCGCCCATCTCACTCAAGAGGCCAGGGGCCAGCGCTGTCCGGAGACACTTCCGGGTCACGTGGCCAGCGTGACATCGCTGCTCTGGCGAGCCAGAGCCGCACACGGAAACGCCGTTTACCTTCCCGCTTGTAAGCGGTCCCTATTTATCTACTTGCACCCGGGGGTGCTTTCGAACTGCTAGGTTGGCAGGCGCTGGGACCGAACGACGGGAGCGCACCCCGCCGCGGGGATTCGAACCGCCGACCTTTCGATCGGCAAGCCCTAGGCGCTGAGGCTTTTACCCACAGCGCCACCCGCGTCCCATCTTATTAAATATTACAGGAAAATAAAAAGAAAAAAGAAATAGAAGCAAAAAATCAATACATAACACTACAAACACATTTGTCTACATATTTTCCAACATGCAGACTAGAAAAGAAAAGAGACGAAAGATAAAAGAAAAAAAGGAAACACTTTTCATAATCAATAATACCAAATTTATACTTCAAACATTACAATATATAAATCCTAGTTAAAATATTCTAAAAGACTTCCACCGCATTCACCACACGTCTCTTAGTTTCTAGTTCACCTTTACATCTGTGTTCTTTTTTTTAACAGATATTTATTAGAATTTTACAAAATGAAAAAAGAAAAAAGAAAAATACAAAGTAAAAATAGATAAAAAACAATTCCATCTTTCCATCACTTTCTTTCATTTGCTTATTTCCCGGACCTCCTCACACCTCCCTTTTTGTATTCCAGTTCAATTTGTTAGTTCAGCAAATCCTTCCCCTCTTTGTTTATCCTAATCTTTAATCTTAAAATAATGTGTAACATTAGCTTTTGACTGTTAATAACCCATTTTTTTCATACTCCTTATAGCGTTATAGCTAAAAACCACATAAGTTTTCATCCAACATCATTTTAACATTCATTAATTTTACAATATTTCTGTAAGTAGTCTTTAAATTTCTTCCAATCTTCTTCCACCGACTCTTCTCCCTGGTCTCGGATTCTGCCGGTCATTTCTGCCAGTTCCATGTAGTCCATAACCTTCATCTGCCATTCTTCCAGGGTGGGTAAATCACCTTTACATCTGTTCTTCAGTCACTGCCTTTCCTTAAGTTCTTTCATAGTCCATCAAATCTTTGTGTTCTCTATATTCTTCACAAGCCCTTCTGTTCCATACACTGAAAGACTGGCCTGCTTGCCAGACTCAGAAACAGGATTTCTCAGGATCTCAGCTCCCCCCCCCCCCCCCAGAAAAGCTTCTAAAAATCATCATGGCTGAAGAAATGTCCAAAATGCTCAAGGGGTGACTGCAAGACAGGAGCCTCAAAGATTCAAGTCACACTGACCTGTCCTACAAGGTTGTTGTAAGGACTCTTACGGTTGCTTTTCTATGCTCTCTTTCAATATAAATATTCTCAGCAGGGATTTGAGCCTGGCTCACAGTGTGACGCGGCAGCTAAAAAAGCCAATGCAATTCTGGGCTGCATCAATAGGAGTATAGCATCTAGATCACGGGAAGTAATAGGGCCACTGTATTCTGCTCTGGTCAGACCTCACCTGGAGTACTGTGTCCAGTTCTGGGCACCACAGTTCAAGAAGGACACTGACAAACTGGAACGTGTCCAGAGGAGGGCAACCAAAATGGTCAAAGGCCTGGAAACGATGCCTTATGAGGAACGGCTAAGGGAGCTGGGCATGTTTAGCCTGGAGAAGAGGAGGTTAAGGGGTGATATGATAGCCATGTTCAAATATATAAAAGGATGTCATATAGAGGAGGGAGAAAGGTTGTTTTCTGCTGCTCCAGAGAAGCGGACACGGAGCAATGGATCCAAACTACAAGAAAGAAGATTCCACCTAAACATTAGGAAGAACTTCCTGACAGTAAGAGCTGTTCGACAGTGGAATTTGCTGCCAAGGAGTGTGGTGGAGTCTTCTTCTTTGGAGGTCTTTAAGCAGAGGCTTGACAACCATATGTCAGGAGTGCTCTGATGGTGTTTCCTGCTTGGCAGGGGGTTGGACTCGATGGCCCTTGTGGTCTCTTCCAACTCTATGATTCTATGATTCTATGATTCTTTCTGGCCTGCTCCCTTCACCACACTGACTTAACAGAACTTGCAATCCTGAAAATATATCTATAATATAAAGAGGAGCGAACAGAATCGGATGTTTACACCTTTTGGAGGCTTGGGTTATTTCCCCCCCATCATATTTCAGCTCCCCCCCCCCCAAATACCACAACAAATATTAGTTTGAAATGATGTTGTGAATATATTTGTGACAGAAATAATAACCACCCCTTTTATGTTCACCCACCCCCATTTTGTTAACGTGAATAATGGGGGGGGGACACTCTTCATCCTAGAGTGCTCTCTCCAAATCTGCTCCCCAAACCAGTTGGTTACCAATAAATCTGGGTATTACAGGGGAAAAAATGTGTGTCAAGAATAACCTGGTATAAATACAGTTTCAGCTGGAAGGCATTTACTGTAATTTATTCGTATGCTGTGCATCCTTTTCATTTAAACAACAACACCCCCCAACAGTCAAAGCAGCTGCATTTCAGTACAAAAAGAAACAATGAGGAATGATTACACTTGAATAGTAATGAAGTGTGTGTGTGTGTGTGTGTGTGTGTGTGTACGCATGCAGCAGGAGAAGGCGGATGTGAAATTTCATTCTCAAGTATCTGCAGTGATGGGGGGATCCCTGGCAAATTTCCACTCCTTTTATACTTTAGGCAGCTGCTCCACTCGCTACAGGGAAAACCCTGGTTCTCATTAAGTGAAAAAGAACTTATTTAAGATGAATGCATACATTATAGTCATCAAATGGAGGATTTGTAATGTTTGGTCATGAGTACATTGGAAACAAGGATTGGGATTAAGCTGCAACCCTTCTCCAACTTGTTCGCCCGACAAAAATCCAGAGCAGGAGAAAGGAACCGCTGGATCACCCACAGGGGGTTTAAATACCTCGGGATAACCTTAAGAGCTGATCTCAAACAATTAAATCAAAGAAATTATAAGCCCCTACTCAAAACGATAAACAAAAAAACTCAAAATGGAAGTGCACAAGCCTTAGCTGGCTAGGTCATATCACAGCTATAAAAATACCAATTCTACTAAAATTATCTTTCCTGTTTCAGGTTTTACCAACATACATCTCTCCTGCTATGCTTAAAAAATGACAAAACAAATTACTTTCTTTTACTTCATTAGGAAAAAGAGCCAGACTCAGTCAAAAAATCTTATTTAGACATAGGAATAAAGGGGGGTTAGGAATACCCAATCTTGAACTATACTACGCAGTTTCCAGATTAAATTATTGATACCTCTCATTAAAGGCAAAGGAGATATTCCATGGATAAAGATAGAAAGTGGCCACACAAGACTATCAGTATACGCTCTGCCTTTCATGAAGGAACAAGAAAAGGTGGGTAAACCCATTTTTAAAAGTATACTTAATGGCGTGGCAGAATTGGAACTGAGTATTGGCTCCTAGGACTTCACTACCGATGCCTCTGCTAGATCACCCCTCATTTAAACATGCAGTCAAATACAACCAACTCCTAGATCTTGAAACAAATGGTTTCTATAGAATTAGAGATGTGTTTGTAAAAGGTAAAGCAATTTTAAAAGAGGGCCTGGTGGCAAAGGCAAAAGGCAAAAAACAGTCCTGGCTACATCTGTATCAACAGATACAGTCCTTTTGCACTTTTGCCAAGTATCTGGAACGAAGGGGTGAGGGCCTGAGACCCCGGACACCTTTTGAATTACTGTGTAACAGACCTAGCCATGACAAAAAAGGGGCATTCTCAATGATATATGCTATTATACAGTATTAGAAAGCTTTGCAGGAAAGACGGAAGATATTCGAATGAGATGGGAGGCTGACATATGAATTTCAATAAATGAAAAAGCATGGGAATCAATATAGCAAAATCCATCTTTAAAAACAATTTTGGATCGCCTCCAGGAAATTTCCTTTAAAATTATCTTTCAGAGGCATTGGACCCCCACACACCTTGCAAAGATAAATCCTTTAAGCTCACCATTATGTTGGAAAGGCTGTAGAGAACAAGGTTCCTATATTCATGTTTGGTGGGAGTGTACCATAAGGTAAAGGTAAAAGTACCCTGCCCGTATGGGCCAATCGTGTCCAACTCTAGGGTTGTGCGCCCATCTCACTTAAGAGGCCGGGGGCCAGCGCTGTCCGGAGACACTTCCGGGTCACGTGGCCAGCGTGACAAAGCTGCTCTGGCGAGCCAGCACCAGCGCAGCACATGGAAACGCCGTTTACCTTCCCGCTATACAGCGGTACCTATTTATCTACTTGAACTTAGGGGTGCTTTCGAACTGCTAGGTGGGCAGGAGCTGGGACCGAAAGACGGAAGCTCACCCCGCCGCGGGGATTTGAACCGCCGACCATGCGATCGGCAAGTCCTAGGCACTGAGGTTTAACCCACAGTGCCACCCGCGTCCCTATGGAGTGTACCATAGCTCATGCCTTTTGGGGGGAAATTTTTAATCTGACCTCCAAAATCAATAAACAATCTATCCCTTTTAATTCAACACTTGCCTTATTATCATTAGATGTGACCCCAAATTCTACCCTTAAACGTAAGAATTATTTTTCCTGTTCCTGTTCACAGGAGCTAGACTAGTTATTGCCCAACAATGGAAGAAAACTTCTAAAATACCAATAGAGGCGTAGGTTAATAACATCTGAAGCATTGCTCTATCAGAACGCCTCACATACCATAGCAGCTAATCAAAGGCATCTTCAAAAAAGATACATTTGACACGATTTGGTCTCCCTTTTCCTCTTTTACTGAAGAACAGGGTATTTTAATGCCACCATCATCACAGAGGTGTCTGTGGAAGGAATATAGTGATCAAAAATGTATTGTATTGTAAATGTATTGTAACTTTTGAATATTTTTGGGGGGGTTTTTTAAAGGAAAAAGAACTACTATTGCACCCACATGCAGTCTTTTGGTGCCAAACCAGAGTTTTTCCATGTTCACCTTTGAAAGGATGAATCACAGTTTTCTGTTCAGGATTCATTAAGAATCTCCAGAAATTAGATGTGCAGGCAAAAAGAAAAACAGGAACCACTGGGTCAGACCTGGCCCAGTTACCAGTGTCTGAGCAAGGATTTCATTCCGGCGCGCGCGCTCTCTCTCTCTCTCTCTCTCTCTCATCTGCACTGCCTCACTACATTTGTCGTGCCCCCCTTCTCTGCAGCAAAGTGTTGAATTTCCATCCTTTATCTAATAATTAATCAGGGCTTTTTTCAGCTGGAACTTGCTTGAACTCAGTTCCAGCATCTCTGTTCACGGTGAGTTTTAAGCTGCATAATTATGGCCCTCCAATTCTTGATGGATTATAGCTCCCAGCGGGCCCAGCCAGTAGTCAGGGGATGATGGGAATTGTAGTTCAACAACATGTGGAAGACCACAGATTCCCCATCTCTGGAACACTGTTGTATGAAACACAAAAGCATGGCCAGGAAAGGGGATAATATCCTTAGTTGGATCAGCACTAATGCAAATTTCTCTCCACTCTTAAGCATGCTAATTACTCTATTTGATTTATGCTCTACTTGCGATGTTCCATTATGTTCTATAAAGTTACTGCTATTTATTGTTTGTAAGCTGCTTTGAGATTCATTTGAACGAGAAGTGGCACAGAAATCAAATCAGGGTCTTCTGGGCGTGGCCACATTTGCTCCTTCCTTGCTGCCCACCAACATCAGACGTGGGGAGCGGCCGTGGCCCAGTGGCAGAGGATCTGGAAGAAGTAAGCAAGCAACACTGCAAAGCCAACCAAAGGTTCCTCCCAACCCTTACCGGATGATCCTGCACAGGGACTGGCTGTGCCGCCACCTGCTGCACCTGCGGCTGGGGCAGGATCTGAGCCGACGGCTTCTGTTGCCCTGCAGCTGCTTTCTGTGGGACGGGCCCCTGTTGTGCCAGCAGTTGCTGCTGCTGCTGCTGCATGTAATTCTGCACAGGCTGCGGTTGCACTCCCTGCTGCGCCACTGGAAACTGTGGCTTCACTGGCGGCTGCGGTGCCTGGGGCGCCACTTGGATCTACAACACAGGAAGCAAGCATTCAGAACCCTTCCTTACGACCAGCTGCAATCTTCTGCATTTCAGCACATGCAATGGAGTAAGAGCGTCTCCCCAAATTCGCCTTCCCTTGTTACTGGGTTGTTGCAGCATGCTCTGTGTTGCTGCCTTTGGAGATGACTTGGAAACTTCATTTGGTCCAAAAATACAACAGCAGCCAAATTTCTGGCTGGAGTTCCACCTGGATCCCGTATAACTCGTTTTGAAACAGCTGCACTGGTTGCCAGTTTATTTCCGGACCTAATTCAAGGTGCTCACATTGGTGATTAAAGCCCTGAACGACTCAGATCCCAAACACCTGAAAGACCATCTCCTTTCCTACAGAACCTTTCGGGTGCTGAGATTGGCAGAGGGGGACCCCTGGATAGCCCTTCCGACTTCAGAGGCTTGGTGTGGTAGTGGCCCAGGGGGAGAAGACCTCTTCTGTGGCAGCCCCAAAACTGTGGAACTCCCTCCTTGCAAAGGTGCCCCTGGCACCTCCATTCTACAGCTTCCAGAGAATGCAGAGGACACACCTCTTTACCCTGGTTTCAGACACTTGAGGTGTATGCTTTTAGGACTCAGCTTATTTTTATAGTTCTAAGTTGTTTCAAACTGTTTTTAATATTGTTTTTTAATGCTTTAACCTGCCCTGGAACCTTAGGGTGAAGAGCTGGAAATAATAAATCAAACAAACAAGCAAGCAAGAAATCTCAAAGCGGCCCAAATGCAGTGCTCACAAAGTACTACAGTGGTACCTCGGGTTAAGTACTTAATTCGTTCTGGAGGTCCGTTATTAACCTGAAGCACCACTTTAGCTAATGGGGCCTCCTGCTGCCGCCACGCCGCCGGAACAAGATTTCTGTTCTCATCCTGAAGCAAAGTTCTTAACCTGAAGCACTATTTCTGGGTCAGCGGAGTCTGTAACCTGAAGCGTATGTAACCCAAGGTACCACTGTATATACTTAAGTATTCTTAGTGCATTATATTTGATTCTATGTGCTCAAACAGAGGCTCAAATTTGCAAGATATGGGGTGGTGGGGCTTTGATTTTGTTAATACCTTGTGCACCCACTCCTTGTCTCATATATTTTCCCTATGACCACACAAACACATTTGAAAGATTCCTTTGACTCCCAAAATGGAGACTCAAAGAGATCTGCCCTTGGGTCCTTGGACTCACCCTCCTCTCTGCTCCCAAGTCGCAACTGCCTTGAAATTCCTATGAAGAGAAAAGAAAAACAGCCACCCCCCAAACAGCCTCACCTGTTGAACTTGCAGGGGAGGCTGTGGCTGCTGCTGCTGCGGCTGCTGCTGCTGAGGTCCTAGGGGCTGATAAAATGTGGCTGGCGGCTGAGCTGGAGGCTGTTGCTGCTGCTGCTGCTTTAGGAACAGCTGATGCTGTGGGGTGGCGGCCTGGGGCTGAGCTGGAGGGGCTTGCGGTTGGGAGGCAGCAGGCGGCTGTACAGGGGGCGGCTGCTTAGGCTGAGCTTGCGGGAGAGGCGGAGTCGGCTGAGGCAGGGCTTTCGGCTGTGGGACGCTGGTAGGGAGGGGGGCCTGACCCCCAGCCAAAGGCGCTGGAGCAGCAACTGCAGAGCAAGAGGAGAGGTCAGAATGCATCCATTTCCTTTACTCCTGTTCTCCCCCCCCCAAGTGCGTACTTTTTATTTAAACACTTAAATGCATAAATATTTAGCTGTGATTCTCGCACTGCAGGAGTTGGGGTTCTCTTCCAACTCTACAATTCTGTGATGCTCTGAAATGAGGATGGATCAAGGGGCTGGAAGATAAAAGAAGGGCAAGGAAGGCTAGAATAGGCAGCCAATGGAAGAAAGGGAAAGAAAAGCAGGTGCCTTGTTTTTCAATAGTTTGGCAACCTAATCTTCAAGAGAATTATGGTGCGATCTCATCTTGCATGCATTTAACTTGCACAATTTCATACATACGTGGTTCAAGGAGGATTGGTTGAAATTCCACATGTTAAATCCAAGCAAGTGGGAGAGGTTAAAAGGTACTTTCACGCTGGGTATGCTTGAGGTTACCGGGTGCAAAAGCAGCTTTTAGGCTCTCCATCTTGCTTACTGGGCAAGGCCCACTTTGCTGCATGGGCTCTGGAAGTAAGAGGACTCTTTCTACCTCAACCCGCTGGCTCCAAGGGTTTGGGTATGTATGGCTTTTGCGAATACGTGGAACCCTGGGAACTGAACCACCACATAAATGACTACGAGGCTTTGAAAAGCTGGCATCAGTGGATCAAGTTCATCCATTTTGTTGAATTAATTAAACTAAATAGCTTTAACTGGGGTTTTAATAAATGTGCCAAATAAATCATTACTGTTTTGAATTCTATTGTGCTATTGTCTTCCTTAGTGGGTTGTACAAGCCGCTATTCTGAAATAAAGCTGTTTCTAGGGTAGGGTAAGGGGCACTGGGGGACGCGGGTGGCGCTGTGGGTTAAATCACAGAGCCTAGGGCTTGCCAATCAGAAGGTCGGCGGTTCGAATCCCCGCAACAGGGTGAGCTCCCGTTGCTCAGTTCTTGCTCCTGCCAACCTAGCAGTTTGAAAGCATGTCAAAGTACAAGTAGATAAATACGGTATTTTTCGCTCTATAGGACGCTTTTCCCCCTCCAAAAATAAAGGGAAAATGTGTTTGCGTCCTATGAAGCGAATGCAGGCTTTCACTGAAGTCTGGAGAGCGAGAGGGGTCAGTGCGCACTGACCCCTCTCGCTCTCCAGGCTTCAGGAAGCTATCCGCAAGCCTTGCAAGCCCGGCGGGTTTGCTGTGCAGCCCTGGGCTTTGGGCAGATATCCGCAAGCCTTGTGAGCCAGGCGGGAGTTCCCGCCGGGCTCCGAAGGCTTGTGGATAGCAGCCTGTTCTGGGTGCTGGGGTCGGGGGAAGCTTGGGCTTCCCCCGCCCCAGCCCCGTGCCTGGGGGGGGGGATAATTTTTTTTCTTTATTTCCCTCCCCCCAAAACTAGGTGCGCCCTATGGTCCGGTGCACCCTATAGAGCGAAAAATACGGTAGGTACTGCTCTGGCGGGAAGGTAAACGGTGTTTCCGTGCGCTGCTCTGGTTCGCTAGAAGCGGCTTAGTCATGCTGGCCACATGAGCCGGAAGCTGTACGCCAGCTCCCTCGGCCAATAAAGCGAGATGAGCGCCGCAACCCCATAGTCGGCCACGACTGGACCTAATGGTCAGGGGTCCCTTTACCTTTAAGGGGCACTGGGGATGAGTCTATGGAACCAAGGGGGTGGGGCCCCCAAACGATTTGGGAACCTCTGGTCCGCATGAGCAGCAGAGCCCTCAGAAGGAAGCCTGCCTGGGCATTGAGGAGTGCAAGTTTACCCATGCAGAGAACGAAAAGTAGGTTAGGAAGTAGCCCGCAGTGGGGCGCCCTCTCACCCTGTGCTGTGGGCCTCTTTCTGGGAGTCAGGGCAGGCTGGATGGGCAGGATCCCCGGGTTTGGTTGTGTCTGCCCAGCTTTGGGTCTTTGGCGTGGGGTGATGGATGTTTCAGTTGTGGGGATAGGATCTGTCAGCCTGAAAGGAGATGGAAACATGGACACAAAACTAAGATTTTAGAGGAAGACAGCATAGTGAACAGCCTCTTTCCATGACCCACCCTTTCACTGGAGCACCCCCACCTCACAACCATCCAGTTGGCAATTGCCCCCTGAAACAGCCAACCCCCCCCCAAAAAAAATCACACACAGAAAAAGGCGACCACAAGATCCATGTTATGCACGACAATGGCACAAATTACACAAAGCATGTAATTTTAAGCAACTCTATGCATATTTTCTCCTAAAGTGCATAATTCGTTCCAGCTGTGGAACAGGGGTTTTGCAGCCCTAGAAGTTTAACTGCAGAATCCCAGGTATGCCATTTAGGCCCTTAGAGCCGCTAAGTCGTGAGAGTTAGCACTAGTGCAGAGGAGATAGGGGTAGCAGTAGAAGAGCAGACGCTGAAAGCCAGTGTGGTGTAGTGGTTAGAGCAGGGGTCGGCAAGGTTTACCTTGCCTGGGCTGGTTCACTCCAGCGGAGATCGCTCCGTGGGCCAGATCACACCTGTGATTTTTGGCATCTGCGTCTGCCCAGATGCGATTTCCAGCACCGCGGAAGCGAGTCCCCGTGCAGTGCAGCGCCGGTTTAGTGCAGCGCGCAGGGACTTGCCAAGTGGGCAGCTCTGTTTGGGGGCAGCTTGTGGGCCGGTTAAATGACCCCCGTGGAATGCTTGTGGGCCATGGGCCTGAGGTTTCTGACCCCTGGGTTAGAGTGTCAGACTAGGGTTTGGGAGACCAGGGTTTCAATCCCCATTTGGCCATTAAATTCAATTGGGGTGACCTTGGGCCAGTGGCTGCCTCTCAGCCTAAGCTACCTCACCTTGGGGAGGTTAAATGAGGTGGGGAAGAACCATGTATAACCCCCTTGAGCTCCTTGGGGCAGAAATGCAGTAAATATTTTTTATATACTATAGAGAAATGAAACACACACACACACACACACACACATATATTAAACACAGAGGTAGGTTGGCAGGGAAGGTGAAACTAGGAGTACAGTGGTGCCTCACAAGACGAAAAGAATCCGTTCCGCGAGTCTCTTCGTCTTGCGGTTTTTTCGTCTTGCGAAGCAAGCCCATTAGCGGCTTAGCGCTATTAGCGGCTTAGCAGGCTTAGCGGATCAGCTGTTAAGCGGCTTAGCGGATCAGCTGATAAGCAGCTTAGCGATCAGCTGTTAAGCGGCTTAGCGGATCAGCTGTTAAGCGGCTTAGCGGATCAGCTGATAAGCGGCTTAGCGGATCAGCTGATAAGCGGCTTAGCGGATCAGCTGATAAGCGGCTTAGCGATCAGCTGTTAAGCGGCTTAGCGGATCAGCTGTTAAGCGGCTTAGTGGCTTAGCGGATCAGCTGATAAGCTGATAAGCGGCTTGGGGAAAAGGGGGGGGAGGAAAAAAAACCTGCAGGAACTCGCAAGACATTTTCGTCTTGCAAAGCAAGCCCATAGGAAATTCGTTTTGAGAAGCACCTCCAAAACGGAAAACCCTTTCGTCTAGCGGGTTTTCCGTCTTGCGAGGCATTCGTCTTGCGGGGCACCACTGTATTTCAGAAAACTGCTATACTGTTTTGTCTACTCAGCAGACATCCAAAGCCCACAATAAGAACCACACCATCAAGGCAGAAGGTTCAGGAGAAACATATCAGATGGTCCCACCACTGGGTACTCTTAAGGCAGAACCCAAAAAGCAAGGCGGGCTTGCAAAATCCTCCTGGCACATTTAATAAAGTCTTGCCTGTTGCATCACTCCCATCGGCCATCACAACCACCCCACTCAGCATGAAATAAAGGCCGGTTGGCACATGCTAAATTCAATTTGTGAACAGAAATGTTGGAAACAATACACCATCTGCACTTTTAATAGGTTTGCAGACAAGCAAACCAAAGGGTCCTGAGCTTGCCTGGCAGTAGCTGGCAGCCTCAAGTGCAACTGTTTATGCCAGAGCCGTAAAAAGAACTGTGGTCCAGTTCTAAATCACTTTGGTTCTCTTCCATTACCACGATTCTACAATTATACCTGTGGGGAACATCTTTCAAGCAACACTTAAGCAACCCGTCCCTTCCGGTACCCTCATCCCCGGCAAAGACAATACAAAACTAAAATAAGGAGCAGGTGCACCACGGGGGGGGGGGGGACAAAACAACAAGCCACTGGCGCAGATACCTCAAGAAATGAGACAAACCCTGCAGCAGGCAGAAGGAAGCAGCTTCTCAAGGAAAGGAAACAGAGGGCTGTATTCTGTGATAAGCACTAGAGTTCAAGGATGGTTTTGATAGGCAAGGAAGAAGAGTTTGGATTTGATATCCCGCTTTATCACTACCCGAAGGGAATTTTCCCTCCCTTAAAGCCCATGGGAACTGCTGCCATTCAGTTTAGACAACACTGAGCTAGATGGGCCAATGACCTGATAGAAGACAGCTTTCCCTGTCCCTATAATAACATGAGAAAGGGTGGCATGGACAGGAGGGTCTAGAGCGGGCACACCAGGTGGGAGAAGGATGAAAGAGATGAATAACTTTTTATTGGCGGGCGGGCGGGGGGGGGGGAGTTTTCATGAGATCTCAAAACAGTTACAAGATTGTCCACAGGGAGCAGGACTGAAAAACTTGGGCGGGGGGAAATCGCCCCAATTCTACTTCACATATAGAAAAGTTTGAGTGTTTGTTTAAGTTACCAATTTTTAAATAGTTAAAGAAAACTCTCAGGGTGGTTTACATTGTTCTCCTCCTCTTTGTTTAATCCCCACAACAACCCTGTGAGGTACGTTAGGCTAAGAGGCAGTGACTGGTCTAAGGTCACCCACCCAGAGAGCTTCGTGGCCAAGTGGGAATTTGAACCCTGATCTCCCAGGTCAGACATTCTAACAACTCCATGAGTAGGTAAAATGTATTAACTACACCACACTGAGCAAAAACAGAAACAAAACAAAACAATAAATTGTCATTTAAATGCAGGTTAATATATGCCTAGTTCCTCTTTTTTACACTGGATAAATGGAACATGTGGATGTTCTTGCATTTGTATTTCTGTACTGTACTCTTTTCTCATATTTGTATTTTACGAAACTTGGAAGAAAATAAATACGTTTAAGATTGAGGCAGGTGTATATGAACTCAGGTGTGGTCTTTTATTTGTTTCACTCCAAATTCTAGAAGCTTCCCCATAGTCAAAATGTCATTAATCACTTCTGAGAGTGGAACTACTAATTAGGGATGGAGAAAGATTTCATTCACATTTTTAACTGGCTTAATTCATACATCCTGGATGAACGTACAGACTGGAACGTAACTAACCTTCTGATTAAGTTATGCTTTAAAATGTGTTCATTGAGATAAAATGCCTATTTAACTATGCATTTCATGATTTAAAAACATGTTTAAACACATATGACATAATGGTCTCCTTCATTTTGTTCTATTATTTATTGATTTTAACCAAAGGTTTTACGGGCGGCTTCTGTTTTCACTGACGTGTTTCTTTGAAGTTTTGGTTCTAAATGTTGTATATACATTATCCTTTTCCTTTATAAAATTATCTTACCAAGTTCATGTAAACTGTACAGAGATTTTGCCTATTACGGTAAGTGCTATATACCTATTAGTGATTATGACTGACTGATTTTTGACCTCAAGTTCCAGCGCAGCAGTATGAAATGGCCCCAGCTCTCCAGAATGCTTAACTCTCTTAAGCAGCACTGCTGGCCTTTTACAGTCTTTTGCCATGGTCCATGGAAGAGTCAGGCACCCTCACCTGGCTTTTGGCTGGCTCTTCTTAGCAGCAGCTTCACTCGCTTTCACTGGTTCTGGGAGTTTGGCAGGGATCGGAGAGTTCTGCAAATGGAAACCCACACAGAGAGCAGAAAATGACGGGGGGCTGTCAGAGGCAACGGAGAGCAAGAGGCAAACTGAATGGGGAAACGTAAAGCTCTCCTAGGCTTCACTTCATGGGTAGGTAAAATTTATTAAGATACTTAATAAATCCTTGGGATGAAAGAGGAGAAACAGCACCAGGGATTTTTCCACTTAACAATCCCAAGCCAGACAGAATTAAAATACAAACCCCTGGCAATATGAGCATAGAAATTACATGATGTCTATTTATTTCTATAATTGTAGTCAGGCAAATGTTTATGATGGTCAACTGTATTTATTCATAGCCTGCCTTACCGGGCTGCCCATTCCAGAGCAGGTCACAATGTATTAACATGCAAAACTATAAGGCAGTAATATGAAACAAAACACATCTGAAAATAAAATAGCAGTAGCGATGTAACACCAAAAGGACAAAAACTGCTACTACCACCAGTGTATTCTTAAGTAAAGAACCATACAAATTCACTACAGTTCATGAGAAAAGTGTGCTTCGGCTGTACGGAAGGCATTTAATTTGTATGATTTCAAACAAACATGGTTGAAGAAGGACTGGCTAAAACTGTGCAGCTTAAACCCAAGCAAGGCAGAGAGCATAAAAGCCCTTTTTGCACCAGGCCCACTTGGGGTTCCCCAGTACAGATAGAGCTTTACGCTCTCTGCCTTGATTACCAGGCATGGCCCGCTTAGCACACTGGTTCTGGGATGCCCTTGCAAGATCTTGCAGGGCTGTCAGAGTTCTTGCAAGATCTCACCTGAGCATTCCTAGCCTTCCAGGGTCCCAGCCAGCAATCAGGGCAGAGAGCTCTTTTGTGCCAGGTAACCCAAGTGGACATGGCACAAAAAGGCTTTTAAAGTCCCACCTTGTTTGCTGAGAAAGGCCTCCCCGGTGTGTGGGTTTTGGCAGTGCGAGACATACTCACTCTCTCCCCCTCGCCCACTAGCCATGCAGAAATACCAAGGCTTTGGGTATATGTGACTTTTGTGTGTACACAGAACCCTTGGAACTGAACTCCCAACATAAGATGCAATCATACTGTACAGAGAAAACACACCTCCCCATACACTAAGCTAAATTGTTGTGGTTTCCCTCCCTTTTGTTGCTTCCTGGCAACCTCTCAATAAATTACTCCATGACTTTTGCAGGCCCAAAAATAGTCCTGGAAGAAGAGAACTAAAGAACTTGTGGGGTTATTTTACGGATTCTTGTATGGTATTTTGCAAAGAGGGATCAGGCATCACTCACCTGTACATTCTGGACCGGACATTCCCTCTTAGCGAGCTTGAATGCAAAATAGGAGACCTGGTAAATTTCAGGTCTCTTGTCAGGGTCTGGTTCCAGCATATACCCTAAGAAACAGAAGACCTATTAGGCTTCGGTGGTGTGGCATTTAGGTATGGCCTAGGAGGGACAGGGACAAGTCTTACTCAGTATCACTTTCAGGATATGGATGCTGGAAAACTCAGCCCACAGGGACTTGCATAGCTTCCAAAACCCAAGGACATCCCACACTGCTCATTAGCCTGGTTCAGACACCACAGCAAACCACAGTCTACTACTACTAGAAGGAGCCTTAGCTACCTGTGGACTTGCCTGCTTCTCCTCTCTAAGAGATTCAAAGTGGTCTTACTTAATGGTTTTGGAGTCTTGGAAGACCTTCTAAGGTGGGAACTGTTTGGTACATTGCTATAATCTCCCCCAAGCTCTCCATAAAGGGAAAACACCTGGCAGAGAAGAGGGGGACGGTGGGAGGAGCAGGTACAGTTTCACATCTTGACAGCTCCAGCTTCTAATTGGATAATTACTTTGCTAGTGGCCCTCTTTTACTTTCCATCACAGGGCAGGGGTGCGAAAGACTTGAGTTTGATGCTTATGGAGCAGAACTTACTCCCCCCCAAAGACCCTCAAAACTGTTTATTCAGTTAACCCCTGCCCCTTTAGCATTTCCCAGACTGGTGTCCTCCAGATGTTTTGGGCTACAACTTCCATCTACAACTACAACTGATGGCAGTTGTGGTAGAGGCAACCGTGTGGGGAGAGATCCATCAATATAAGAACATCTGATGGAGTTCACAGAAGTGGGCACCAAAATAAATCTCCTAGACTTGTGCCCAAAACCTTTGTCCTTATAAACAGAAGTATTCTGGGTTCCAAACCCAAACACCTGGCAGGACATAGGAGCAGTTTCATGCTAGTTAGCTTTTTAAAATCAGAGTTGAGCTGTATTTCCGAACAAATACTCACGTATGAGGCAGTGCATGTCGTGAGAGTAGCGCGAGTTGTCAGGAATGGTGAAGTTTCCGTCGCAAATTGCTACTTGGCTCTCACCAAATGGCAAAGTAAAATAACAGAGTTTGTACAGCAAACAGCCCATGGCCTGAAAGAAGATGAAGAATTCTTTAGTGTGCTGCAGGAACGGAGACCTGGTTACCTCCGTTGTCATGTAAGGCCTTGCTGGATTCTAGTTGCAACAACAGAAAACAAACCTCTCTTGCTGACATGACCTGCTTCAGATTTCAGGTCAGCAAAACCCCAGCCTGATTTGAAGCTAGGAATGTAGGAATTGCTGGCTCTGCTAGCAATTGTTCCAAGTTTGCCTCTGGTGAACCAAGATTGCTGTTTCTGAACTGGAAGAGATGTGTAACATCAAAATTTGCAATCCAAAGCTTATAAAAAATTGGCAGCTGCCTCAATTCTCCAAAACAGAGCACTCTGAATTAAACTAATCGCCAGACACTGCAGGCCAAGTTCTGACCCTTGTGCAGCTCACACCATCCACATGGCCAAACACAAACATCTCATTGGTGTGATTCCTTTTCAAAGAAGAAAGCATCACAAAAAGGCCTCAGTGTGAAGTGTCTACACAACGCATTTCTCTAGGCCAGTGTTCACTATCCTGGTGCACTCCAGATGTTTTAGACTACAACTATGAATGACTATGCTTGCCTGGGTGGATGGAGTTATAGTCCAAAACATCTGGAGGGCACCAGGTTGGGGAATACTGGCTTAAGCAGATGGCGGGAAGGAAGGGCAACCAATTCCTCCTCACACAGAGACCGTTGTTTGGTGTGTTTGAAACAGCCCCTGTTGTGTGTGTGTGTGTGTGTGTGTGTGTGTGTGTGTGTGTGTGTGTGTATGTGTGTTGTTTTACAAGAAGAAAAATCTGGGAAGCTAGCAGCCCACGGACCCTAGATGAGGAGAGCAGATCTAATCCCAACAACCATCATTTTCTACCATCTGCAGGGATGATCTCTGTTACCTACTTTGGAGTAAGGCATTTAGTCTAGTTCTTCAAAAGCAGCATTTGCACATAAGATCTGGGTCTTAAATTCTGTGTCAATTTTTAAAGAAGTGAAAAGCAGTATTCAAGATATGCGAAAATAGAACATAAGATACAAGTTGTCTCTGAAAGAAAAACATGATGATGGGTAAAGAATCATCTCAAAGTCCTTTCACGGGGGGGGGGGGGTGTCAGTCAAGTGCTTATATTGTGCTTCAAGGAACCTCTACATCAGACATGGCCAAACTTGGCCCTCCAGGTGTTTTGGGACTATAACTCCCATCATCCCTAGCTAACAGGACCAGTGGTCAGGGATGACAGGAATTGTAGTCCCAAACATCTGGAGGGCCAAGTTTGGCCATGCCTGCTCTACATGTTTGGTCTGAGATTAAAGAATGGAGCTGAAACTCTCAAAACAGTACGTCTTGGATTTTTAAATGCATGACTGCAAGACACGAATGTTACATCCATGCATCCAGATGCCCCCCCCTCCATCCATCTGCTTATTTGAAAGCTATGGCTTGTTTATGCTCAGGAGTCTGCTTTCTGAATGCAGTTTCTCTAACTTGTGTAGATTTATATGTTATTGGATTTTTTTTATTGATAAAAAGAAAAAACATCAATAATTAGTTATCTATGAGTTGTCAAAGAACTGGAGAAATCAGTAACAGAAGAAAATGTTTTTGGCAAGAGATGGCAACAGAGAAATGAACACTCAATTATTAAAAAAAATAAAATTAAGTGCTATTTTTGCACCCTGATGAAAGGATGTTCTAGCACAATTAGAAAACAAAGGAATAACATTTGATGCCACTTCCACCTACCCACGCCCATGCAAAAAGGCTGTAGTTTTTACTTGGACTGCCTTAAGCGGTTATGAGAATTGATTATTTTTTTTGTTTCCAAAGTCACTAGTGATGTAAAAAGAGCTCAGAAGCAGAATTTATGCTGATCACATCCTAGTTACTGGGAAGTGAATACAGAAAGAAAAAAGTATAGTGCAGCCATCTCCAACCAAGTGCCCTTCAGATGTTTTGGACTACAACTCCCATCATCCCCAGTCATCATTTATGAAACCCAGAGATTTAGAAAAGGCAGGGTCTGGCCCACTCACCAATGAAAAATGCAATTATTATTGTTGTGGTATGGGAAGCAGTTAAATCAGATCAGCATGCTATTGCAAGGAATATACATGTTTTGGAAAAGAGAAATAAACCTGCTAAAACTTTGTCTAGAATATTGACTACAGGAGCAGATGATGAAGCAAACCTCATGAATGAAACAAAAAAAAATTGGGAAATCCAGCTGTTTCACAGGATAAAGTATGCAATTCTCACTGAGGCAGCCCTCCACCCACTCTAGTCTTTCCAGGCAAACAAGTTACTCCAATGCAATATGGTCCAGTTCACTCATTGGTTTTCTCTGCAAGAATAGATTGGATGGGGTGTGGGGAGGAGGTGGTGGGCCGGAGATCTCTACTGGGCTGAGAGTTCTGCCTTTAGCACAGTGGCTGATCAGGCCCTTAGTGCATCTAGTCCTTTCTTCTGAAATGCAACTCAGAAAGCAGCCTCTTGGAATAATCTCCAATTGCTCATTTTGATTTATTAAGCCCCATGCTATTCACAAGGGCTCTGGGGCGGGTTACAACTTCCAAAGATGAAAGGGGGGAACCGAGGCACAAGAACAAATCCAAATTGCAATGTAAATTCACTGCTAATTAAATATTTAAAAACAAATGTATATATAAAACCACATTAATAAAACATGCTGCTAAGTATGCCTCATTGCACTGCTAAATATACCCCACGTAACCAAAGGGTTGCGACGGTCATCTCCAGGCTTGACTACTGTAATTCGCTCTACGCGGGGCTGCCCTTGAAGCTGTCCCAGAAACTCCAGCGGGTACAGAATGCTGCAGCGAGGCTCCTCACGGGGTCTCTGCCATGGGAGCATATTCACCCAGTGCTTTTCAAGCTGCACTGGCTCCCGGTGGAGTACAGGGTCAGATTTAAGGTGCTGCTTTTGACCTTTAAAGCCATTCACGGCCTAGGACCCTCGTACCTATGGGACCGACTCTCCCGGTCTGCCCCACGGAGAGCCTCAAGGTCTGTAAATAGAGACCTTAGAGGTCCTGGGCCCTAAGGAAGTCAGATTAGCCTCAACCAGAGGCAGGGCCTTTTCAACACTGGCTCCGGCCTGGTGGAACGCTCTGCCTCATGAGACCAGGGCCCTGCAGGATCTGATTTCTTTCCGCAGGGCCTGTAAGACAGAGTTGTTCCGCCTGGCCTTTGGCTTGGAGCCAATTTGATTCCCTCCCTCCCCCTCTTTCTTTTTTCTTTTCCTTCTCCTCCTGCGATGAGGCTACATTTTAATATTTTAATGTTCCATTATTTTAATGTTGCATTTTATTTTTGTTTTTAAGTTGTAATCATTCTTCTTGTTTTTATTATTGCTTGTAAGCCGCTCTGAGCCCGGCCTTGGCTGGGGAGGGCGGGGTATAAATAAAAAATTATTATTATTATTATTATTATTATTATTATTATTATTATTATTATTAAAATGGAAAGTTTGCTGCCCTGAGATGTCAAAGGCTTGTGTAGATGAAAAGAGGGAGGGAATTTGGGTTGTAAAAGAGCCACTTTGATTCCATTTCTATCCTTGAGGAAGGCAAGAGAGTGAGGGACCTGCAAGCTTCCAGCCAGCCATGCTGTAGTGGAAGCAGGGCTGGCCTGGCCATGAGGCAAGGTGAAGCAATTGCCTCAGCATGGCAGGCACAGGACAGTTGGGAGTAGTGGCAGAGCTGGACCCATAAAGAGCATGCCACCTGCTGCCTTTGCTGACACCACTAACACCGCTGCCCACCGCCACTGCCATCTCTTCCCAATGGCCTCCTTTTACTCCCCGTTTTCTGATTGTCCTTGTTGTGGGTGAGGGAGATGAAGGCAGCAGAGTGTAAGGGTAGCATTGGTGGGGAAGGGGTGGCACTTTCTTGCTTTGCCTCAGTGGCAAAATGTACAGGATCACCACTGAGTGAAGTGGCAGGTCTAAGGGACTGGGAACCATGGCAGACAGAAGACCACAGGGAAGGGCGGGCAACCAAGGCAAGAGACTTGCCAGTAAAATTTCTAGCAAGCCACATGCAGGCAAGTAACTTCACAAAACCTTCTACATACCCAGATGTCTGCTCTTGTAGTAATCAGCTTGCCGCTATAGAGGTTGACCATTTCTGGTGCTCTGTAGGATAGTGTGGTGTACCTACAAGGAAACCAAAACTCACAGGGTAGCCGGATAAATCAAAATGGTTTTATAAACTATGTGGTGTTTTCTCTACAACTCACATCAACGTTTACTCTTCCTTGAATGAATTCTAGATCTAGAACTGACAGCAGCTCAGGGCACTCAGAAATAAAGAGATTTCAAGATCGCATCCCAGACTACCACGAAAAGAGGCTACTGTTGAAAGCCAATAAATTTATAATTCGTTTGTTTGTTTTCTGCCCTTCACCCTAAGGTCCTAGGTGGGTTATAGCATTAAAAACAATAGTTAAAATAATTGAAAACAACTTACAATCATAAAAAAATAAGGTGGGTCCTAAAAATATGTCACCTCAAGTGTCAGGGTAAAGGTTAGCAGCAGCCCAGCTAATTAACAGCCCTCTTCTAGTTTTGAAGCCACAATAATTAAGATTTAAACAAATGTTCCAAAAGCACAGAAACAGGCTGCTCTTTTTCTCTCTGTTCCATAGTCAACCAGCTATGATGCTTTCCATGCAGAAGCAGCCCCAGCCAGACACAGGAGAGGCCCACTAAACCATCCCTCACTCACTTCTTGATTTCTTCCTCCACTGCATTCACTCCTTCAAGCTGAGGGTTCTGGAATTTGTTGGTGGCACTTCCAAAGTCACACAGCACATAATGGCCACGATCGTGCAGGAGGATATTTTCCACCTGGAAAGAAAAGGTGTGCATACCAGGATGAAGGGGAAACGTAATTCCTTTTGCATAAACATTTCTCTTTCCCCCAGCAGGAACCGGAAACGTGAACTTGGGAGCAGTGGTGGCAACTGCGGAAAGTGCCCCCGACTTCTGAAAGCCACAATCCCCTAGCCATCAAGCCCTACTTGGTTTTCCTCCCTGAAGACTTTTCACATGGTGATTGAGATATCGCCCATGGAGAAGGTCACCTGATACTTCATAGACCAGCCTTCCCCAACCTAGGGCCCTCCAAAGGTTTTGAAATACAGCTTCCATCAGCCCTCTCCCCCATGCTTCCACCATACAGTGGTGCTGGCTGCGTCTGATGGGAGCTGTAATCCAAAACATCTGGATGGCCTCAGGTTGGGAAAGGCTGCTGTGGACTATTTAGGAATTTTACAGTGGGTGTAAGATTCTGGCAGAGCATTGCAACTGTCACTCCCTACATATCCCACTGCACACAAAGGATTACCTCCGTAATGTTCTACAGATGTTCCAGCATTTATTTTTATGTTCTCACAAAGCTACAAATCCCCTCTTCCTAAAAACAATAAATGGAACTGATGCCAAGGCACACAACAGCAACTATTCAACACATTCATAGTAATAAATGATTGTTTCTACATTCATCTTGGGTACTCCTCATTTGCTTGGTGGGAATTTTGAGAAATTCTGATTTTGAGAAATTCTGATTTTGAGAAAGCATTTCCCAAGAGCAAAGGCAGGAAACCTGTGTCCCTCCATATGTTTTGGATTACAATCACATCAGACCCAGCCAACAAGGTGAATGATCAGGATGACGGGAACATCTGGGATAGCACCAGATCCTCTGGCCTTGCCTTAAGAGAAACAAATATATTTCACTGAGAAACTCAGATAAGCAGAACCTTTGACATCACTTAAATGCCCTGAAAGAGCTTACGATCCCCCTATTTGAGAGGCTGGGGACACAGGGTCAGCCCCCACCATAAAGATTTCTAAGCGCACAGATCCATGCACACCACTTTTCTGTAATTGTAGTGTTGATTACATTACTTTGAGCGCTCACACAACTTGGAAGAGAGCCTCAAACACTGTGTAATAAATGTGATAAAGTCAAACACCTGCCCCCAAAACATCTGGGGGGGCACCAGGTTGGGGAAGGCTGCTATAGGCAGGCAGTGAGAGGCAAGACAATACCTACCAAGTGGGGTTCCACCAACTGGCCACTGACAACAGCTCAAGGTTAGTCTGAAACTGGTGGTGCAAAAACCCTAACAGCCCAAATGTGAGTGATACCTGTGCACAAAACTGTTGTTTTCCAACACCAGCAAGGTACTGAAAAGGAACTGCCGGTAACACACCCAGTCATGAGGACCTATCACTGCTCTAATATCAAGGAGAGTCTCTGGGCACCAGAATACTATCTGCACGCCAAGCATTTCTACAAGGACACTGTAAGTTACCTTCAAATCCCTGTGGACGATGGGCGATTTGCACTGGTGCAGCCTGGCCACAGCTTCGCAGGTGTCACAGAAGATCTGCAGGACTTCGCTTTCCGTGAAGCCTGTCTGCAAGCGCTGATTCATGAGGTTCACCACTTGGCCTCCTGGAAAGAGTAAAGGCAGAGTAAGAGAGAGGGAGAGCAAATATCAGTGGTGAGACACTGAGCTTTCTAAGAGGCTTTACTAACCACAAGACACTGAGCTTTCTAAGAGGCTTTACTAACCACAAGGCACGCAAGGAAACATGGCAGCATGTTGGCACAGGGTATCAAAAGGTGCCCTGTGTCACTGGTTCCCAAACTGGGTGGTACCACCCCTTGGGGAGCAGTGGGACTACTGGGGGGCAGGCTAAGAAACAAGGTGGTGGCAGGAGGCACTAGAGATGGGCTCATCCAAACATGTTTCTCACTTATGTACAACTGACAATGCTAGAGCCTAGAGCAAAACACATTCATTTCGTATTTAAAGTTATACTCCTCCTATATTTTTCAAATCTATTTCCTTTGGTCACGCTTGCTGGTATTTACAATTCTGAGTTGTCACAATATACCAATAAGTGGGTGAAAAAAGGTAAAGGACCCCTGGCAGTTAAGTCCAGTCACGAACGACTCTGGGGTTGCGGCGCTCATCTCCCTCTATAGGCCGAGGGAGCTGACGTTTGTCCGCAGATAGTTTTTCTGGGTCATGTGGACAGCATGACTAAGCCGCTTCTGGCGAAACCAGAGCAGCGCACAGAAACGCCGTTTGCCTTCCCGCTGGAGCGGTACCTATTTATCTACTTGTACTTTGACATGCTTTTGAACTGCTAGGTTGGCAGGAGCAGGGACCGAACAATGGGAGCTCACCCCATCACGGGGATTCGAACCACCAACCTTCTGATCGGCAAGCCCAAGGCTCAGTGGTTTACACCACAGAAGCACCCATGTCCCTAATAACTGGTTAACAGCTATCAATTGCCTTATAAATTAGTTGCCACACATCTGTGGTAGGTGAAGGTTTGTGTATGTTTGGTAAGTAGTTATATATAAATGTTTTATGCATAAAAATCATTTTCAGGCAATACCTTGTATCACCGGATCAGATTCATCTATTTTGAATTAACTAAATGAAATGGTTGAATTGGATTTTGAATAAATGTGCTGTTTTGAATTTTATTGTGTCATCTTCCTTAACGGGTCATGCAAACTGCTATTCTGAATAATGCATTATGCAGGGTAGGATTACTGGGGGTGAGTTTAAGGGACGAAGAGCCCCCCAAAAGTTTGGGAACCACTGCCTTATACTAAGTCAGAGCACAGGTTCACCTTGCTCAGGGGTTCTCCAGGATTCTTTCCCCAACCCTATCCAGTGGTGCCAGGATTGAACCTAGGGCTTTTTTTTGCATACACAGGAAATGCTCTATTGCTGAGCTACGGTCCTCCCGCTAAGCTCAGAGGGAGTGTGAATGCTCCCATCTCTACAAATGAACACAGCTGCTTCTAAGAAACGTTTGGTGCCTCAAGAGGTTTCAGCCGCATGCCCCAAAAGCTTTGCCCTAGAATCCCAGCACCCTATGCAGAATTATGCCTGCAGTCGTGACTTTCCTCCTACATAACATAATGGGGCAACACAGCTCTAACACATTGCATAGGGAAGGGCTAAAAATTATTCTCCAAATCCCTATTCCAATCTGAGATGGAAAATAATCCAGTGAGCTTGCTTGTTCCTTTGAGGTGAGTTGTGATGAGCCTCCAAGGTTCTCTTCTAAGCATGGCTTGGTAATGACTGCTTGCCTTGTTGCCAGAGGTGGGGTAAATCTTGTGGGCTAGTATTGTTTGTGAACTTATTTTTAAGGCAAGAATCTTTTTCCATTGCACTTTCTTGCATTTGAACAGCACTCCGATCTAGACAAACCTTTGAATATCTGGACATCGTGCAGGCCTTCTGAGAACAGGAGTCATACCATACAGGTTTGTAAACATGGCTCCATTGAACTAGTACACACCTCGGCAAAAATCCATGAGGATCAAGACTTCCCAGACATCCCCACTGCTCACAGAGTTTATACTGGAGTCAATATATCCAACAATGTTCTTGTGTCCCACAAGGTCCCTCTGGAAAAAGTAAGAGAAGAGGTACTGGTTACTGCAAGTCACAACCAGAAAAATCTACATCTAAGTAAACAAACTTTGAAACAGAATTAAGCTACCTGCACATATTATGCCAGTGACACTTATCACTCTCTTCCTTTTACTTTGCTTCTCCTCATTCTCTGGGTATCCAATAACTTTTCAAATTCAAATTCACTTCTGCTACATGATTTTTGGTTGTTCTGTATTTCTAGAATATCCTGGCCAAACTCTGACACCTGAACTTCCCACCCTCACTCACGTTACTCAGTTTAAAGAAGCAGTTACATTTTTAAAACAACAGCTGGCTTTGTAGCAGTGCTAACAGGAGTGGTTTTCTTTCCCTCCTAGATCTGTCAAACAGGAAGGCCCAACTTTCCAATCCATGCAATAGTATCTATCCAAAACATTCTGCAAGAACTCCCAGAGTTTTGAGTCCTGCCTTGGCTTACCATGATCTGAATTTCCCGTTTGCAGACTTGTAGGTCGTGTTCATTGTTGACATACATTCGTTTGAGGGCACATTTCATTCCATTGCTGGTTCTCACCAGAAAAACAATAGCAAACCCACCTGCGGACACAAGATGTGCAAAAGTTCAGCTAGCAATTTTAGAGGATTGTCTGAAATCTGAGGGCAAACACTTTTGCTGTTGAAACTAAGCAGCCCTGACCTTGGAGAGCCATGCAGAAAATCAATCCAAGCGCTCTGGAAGGAGATATGGCTATCTAGGCAACCAAGATAACTTTCATCCTTGAATTAAAACTGGAGGAACTCTCGCACTGGAGAGGAATTGTTTTTAGAGCATGTGAGCACAAGAATCCACCTCTGCTCAGTGTAGTTTGCCCTATATTATTTCTGCATGAGTCACTGTTCTGGGTGTGGCTCCTGGAAGCCCTGGCCATCTAAAACAATGACTCATGCGGCAATGCAATGGGTAGCATCCTCTGAAGGTGGGCAATTCTGCAGAGCCCCTGCAACTGAATCACAAAGCCATGCCAGGAAAGAGAGAGAGAGAGAGAGAGTGAGTCTGAAGGGCAAAGTTTTTAATCAAAACATCTGGATGGCACCAGGTTAGGGGAGGCTGGTGTACGGTAAAGGACAGATGGACAGGACCTCAGGCATCATGGACATGGAAGGTTTTGCCAGGGACTCACTGGGTGGTCTTGAACAAGCATTCCTCCTTTCTCAGCTTCACTGCTGATAATCTATGAAAGGAGCAGACAGCAACTGATTTCTACACATAGAGGAAAAGCTTGGTCTTCCACAACAGAATAACTCCTAGCACTTCTCTGGTTGATATTGCCTCGGAACAAAACTCATACAACAACACAGTGAAAGGACGCTGATTAATTTCACTCCACAAGCCACAACTTTTACAGCCAAACCACAATCAATCAACATTCCTACAGTGCACCATGTTTATAACAATCTGCTGCACAAGATGGGATGGAAGCATCATCTCTCAGGAAGAACCAGGAACCCAGTACAGTAGTCTTGTTTATACCAGCCTTCCCCAACCTGGTGCCCTCCAAATGTTTGAATTGCACCTCCCATCAGCCCCAGGAAAGGGGAGACCAATGGTGAGAGGTTGTGGGACATAGTCTACCTACATCTGAAGGGCACCAAACGAGGTCCATATGCCATTACAATGTAGCGGGTGGGCGGGAAGGTGACATCGGGACGGTGCATGACTAACGCACGCACCGCCCCCATGCGACGTCACAGCCAGTACAGCGCCCGCCACAGCGGGGAGTGTCGGGGCGCACAATGTGCCTCCTCTCCTCGCTAGTATCCGCCCTGGAGCCGCGGCAAAGGTGTAAAAGAGCCACATGTGGCTCCGGAGCCGCGGGTTGCAGACCCCTGGGCTAGATGATGCTTGAGGCCCCTTCCAACTCTACAGTTCTCCAATGCTATGGTGGATTTCCATGCATATCAACCACCCAGGGCAACACAATGGCATCATTTCCACTATCATCTATAGCTCACAACATGGAGGTTCTACTGCTAAGGGAAGGACCATAGTTCAGTGGCAGAGCATCTACCTTGCACACATAAAATCCCAGGTTCAATCCCTGATATTTCCAGGTAGCGCTAAAACCTGGAGGAGGCACTGCTAGATGTTATTGAGCTAGACAGATAAATGGTTTGGCACTGTAATGAGGTTGCTTCCTATGTACTCTTAAGGGACCTGCAGCCTATCCTGGATGGAAGCTACCTTCTCAAAGCGCCAACAGGCAGGAACGCCCACACTTGCCTCACAGCACCCCCTACACATCTCCTCCAACTGAAATAAGAACTACTTTCTGAAGAGCTGTTGTCATGTGCAGACTAATAGAAACCACCAGTTCAAATCACCACAGCCAGCCAGAGACTTGCCACAAGAGATGCACCACAGCTGTTTCAGATGTGGCTGTACCAGAGGTGAACACAACACTTCGGAAGAGGGCCCCAGCAGCCTACATACTCTCACTGTTCATAATCCTTGTCCACTCTCAATCCTGCCAAGTATGCAGCAGGGCTTACTACACTCAACTACAAAGAAAAACACCCAGATGATAATGTCATCTACATTCAGTGTCAAGGCCACCTCGGAGCGTTAGTTAGACATTATTCAGATCAAACGCAGAAACTGAGTGGTCAAGACATACAGATTTTGAGGGGAAAGAGGCACGATACGCTAACAAAATCTAGCTCACGGAGTAACCCCAGCCTACATTTCAATGAAGATTTTTGCATCAAGCCCAACCTCCCAGGAACCATTGGAAAGCTGAAAGGAAGAAGGGGACAGGCATTTGGGAAACCTGCAACCATTCATGAGAGAGGAGGGCCCCCAAACTCTGCTTCCCGCTAGGAACTGCAACGCCTCTCTGACGTCAGCCACCATTACCCTGTTGGGATGCGTCCGGGGAGACGGGGGGCATTTGGCAGGCCCCCAGCTGGCTCCAGCAAACAGCCGGCAGCTGGGGGAACTCCGGTTCTCAGAACAGCATCTATCAGTGACTCGAGCCTCAAAAGCCTTCAGAGACTGAGCACGCTTTAATCAGCAGAGTGAATAACTTTTCACAACAGAAGTGGCGGACAGAAGCATATGTAAGCATATTTACAGACGTTTATTCGGCATCAGGAACAAAGAAAAAACATGTCTGCTTCCCTTCATGTCCAAGCAAACAGCAGTATAGCAAAAGCAATATACAACGGAAGTTCCCAGCAGACTGTGCTGGAAGTAAACAGACATATGACGTACAACAATCCACACATCTGTTCTAAAGGTGGAATGGAAGTACAGTGGTACCTCGGGTTACAGAAATAGTGCTTCAGGTTAAGAACTTTGCTTCAGGATGAGAACAGAAATCGTGCTCCGGCGGCGCGGCGGCAGCAGGAGGCCCCATTAGCTAAAAGTGGTGCTTCAGGTTAAGAACAGTTTCAGGTTAAGTACAGACCTCCGGAACGAATTCAGTACTTAACCCGAGGTACCACTGGGACGCGGGTGGCGCTGTGGGTAAAAGCCTCAGCACCTAGGGCTTGCCGATCGAAAGGTCGGCGGTTCAAATCCCCGCGGCGGGGTGCGCTCCCGTTGCTCAGTCCCAGCGCCTGCCAACCTAGCAGTTCGAAAGCACTCCCGGGTGCAAGTAGATAAATAGGGACCGCTTACTAGCGGGAAGGTAAATGGCGTTTCCGTGTGCGGCTCTGGCTCGCCAGAGCAGCGATGTCACGCTGGCCACGTGACCCGGAAGTGTCTCCGGACAGCGCTGGCCCCCGGCCTCTTGAGTGAGATGGGCGCACAACCCTAGAGTCTGTCAAGACTGGCCCGTACGGGCAGGGGTACCTTTACCACTGTATAGCCTAACATACTCCAATCCCCACCTTCAGGTCAGGCCTGTCTACAGGCTCAACAATATACACAGTTCAGGGAAGAGAAGAAGGGAGCAACGCCATGGCATGGAGGAAAGGAAGGCAGATTTGGCAAAAGTTGCCAGGAAGAGATGTAAAGGTAAAGGTAAAGGTACCCCTGCCCGTACGGGCCAGTCTTGACAGACTCTAGGGTTGTGCGCTCATCTCACTCTATAGGCTGGGGAGCCAGCGCTGTCCGCAGACACTTCTGGGTCACGTGGCCAGCGTGACATCGCTGCTCTGGCGAGCCAGCGCAGTACACGGAAACGCCGTTTACCTTCCCGCTAGTAAGCAGTCCCTATTTATCTACTTGCACCCGGGGGTGCTTTCGAACTGCTAGGTTGGCAGGCGCTGGGACCGAGCAGCGGGAGCGCACCCCGCCACGGGGATTCGAACCGCCGACCTGACGATCGGCAAGTCCTAGGCGCTGAGGTTTTACCCACAGCGCCACCCGCGTCCCTTAGGAAGAGATGTGGCAACCTGTAAAAATACAGTGAGTCAAAGCCTTAAGAAACAACAACAAGGTTTATTACATTCAAGTGGTGAACAAATTAAAACAAGAAATAATCTATCTTCCCCCAACCCCTGTCTCAGGCAGCCCCTGCCCCAGTGGCATAAAGCAGGAAGCTGCGCTCCATACGATGTGTTGCAGGCCCCGCTTGCTGCCTTTGTCATCATTACTCATCACTTCATTTTTGTATGCTGCCTTTCCACACACAGAAAAGCACCCGCGCTCTAAGCTGCTTACAACAAAGAGAATAGCACTGCATCACAAAATCAGCAGCTGCAAAAACAATTTCTTAATACTGTGGTGGGGGAAGGGTTGTTTGTTACTATGTTGTGCATTTTTGTGTTTTTATATTGTAAACTGCCCTGTGATCCTCAGAGGAAGGGCAGTATAGAAAGGAAAGAAATAAAAATAATGGCAACAACAAAACAGCAACTTAATACAGTGGTGCCTCGCAAGACGAAATTAATTCGTTCCGCAAGTTTTTTCTTCTTGCGAGTTTTTCGTCTTGCGAAGCACGGTTTCCCATAGGAATGCATTGAAAATCAATCAATGCGTTCCTAGGGAAACCGCTTGCCAGGCTGGCGGTGCGGAGAAGGACTTTTCTCCCCACCGCAAGCCTTCAGCACAGGTACGGGAACAGAGGGGAAGGCGCGCAGCGCTTTTCCTTTGTTCCCGGGGCTTGCGTGGGAGGAGGGTTTTTCCTCCTCACCACCAACATTCAGAACAGCATTCTGAATGTTGGCGATGGGAAGGAAAACCCTTCTCCCACCCCAAGTCTTCAGGACAGCCATCCGAAGGCTGGCGCGGGGAGAAGGTCTCTCCGCCCCCCCCCCATGCCAGGCTTCGGTGCATCCTTCAGAGGCTGCTGCCATAGTCACGCGTCACTTCTCCAGCTGGGAGAGGGTCGCGGGGCTATGGCTTCTTTAGCCCCGCGCGCGCTCTCCCGGCTGGAGAGGAGACGCTCGGCTATGGAGGCTCCTGCCATAGGCGCGCGTCACCTGGGAGAGGGTCGCGGGGGGCTGCTTTAGCCCCGCGCGCGCTCTCCCGGCTGGAGAGGTGACGGGCGCCTATGGAGGTTCCTGCCATAGGCGCGCGTCACATCTCCAGCCGGGAGAGGGTCGCGGGGGGTTTCTTTAGCCCCGCGCGCGCTCTCCCGGCTGGAGAGGTG